GGGAGGGTGCTGGGACAGTGACGGGAGGGTGCTGGGACAGTGACGGGAGGGTGCTGGGACAGTGACGGGAGGGTGCTGGGACAGTGATGGGAGGATGGAGAGGATGCTGGGACAGTGATGGGAGGATGCTGGGACAGTGATGGGAGGTGGAACAATGACGGGAGGGTGCTGGGACAGTGATGGGAGGGTGCTGGGACAGTGACGGGAGGGTGCTGGGAAAGTGGCGGGAGGGTGCTGGGAAAGTGACGGGAGGGTGCTGGGACAGTGATGGGAGGATGGAGAGGATGCTGGGACAGTGATGGGAGGGTGCTGGGACAGTGATGGGAAGTAGGACAGTGGTGGGAGGGTGCTGCAAGTACCTTCATGAAAAGAACCCTTTGTACTGATCACTCACGTCTTCACTGCAGCTTCTGTGGCTAAGAAGGCAGCTCCCGAGGACTCCATGCCAGAACCTGAAGCCCTGGGGACAGCAGAATGTAGCCAAGGCCCCCCTCTGGACCCAGGTACCCAAGCGGAGAAGAAAACCTTGGAAATATCCCTGGACCCTCAACTCTCGAGAGGACCAGAGAAGAGGCCAAATGCGGAGAAGGTGGTGGAGGAAAGCCAGGGGGCTGGGCAGCTGAAGACAACCACTCCACATGAGAGCTTCAGGGTCAGGACAGAAGCAGCGCTTCTCCATGAGATGGTAAGGTGGACTCTGCCTGTTCCGGCCACGAATAGTCCAATTTAAAGCAAATTGTTAAGAAATGTTAAGAGTTTCTGTAGCTGGGCGTTGGTAGCACACACCTTTAATCCCAGCACTCCGGAGGCAGAGGCAGGCAGATCTCTCTGAGTTCGAGGACAACCTGGTCTACAGAGTGAGTTCCAGTACAGCCTCCAAAGCTACAGAGAAACCCTGTCTCAAAAAAAAAAAAAAAAAAAAAAGTTTCTGCAAGAAAGACTTACTTAATGAATTAATTTTTTTACATTTTTACTTTGTATGCGTGATTACAGCCACATGCGTGCCTTAGCATGTATATCTCGGGGTTAGAGGACAACTTTGGGGAGTCTGTTCTTGCCTTATTTGTTAAGGCAGTGCCTCTCTTGTGTTGCTTCTGCTGTGCTATGGACTGCAGGCTTGCAAGCAGTTTCCCTCTTTCTACCTCTTATCTCACCACAGGAGTGCTGGGATTAGAGATGTGCTCCACCACATCAAACTTTAATATATATATATATATATATATATCTTTAAAAGTCTTTATTATCAGGCAGGAATGCTGGCATACACCTATGATCCCCACACTTGGGAGATGGGAACTGGAGGACCATGGTTTCAAGGTCATTTGGGATAATCTGGGATGTATGAGACCCTGTCTCAAAACAAACAACACAAAAACAAAACTCACTTCCCAGCCTGCAGTTTCTCTGCAGCAGGCTTCTGGGAGGTCTGGAAGGAACCATTCAGCTCAGATTCCCAAGGCATACATAACTCTAAATGTTTCTGACCCACAAACCACTGACATGTCCTTAGAATGCAATGATGCTCAAGCCCAGAAGCAGCCCAAAGCCTGCTCCTTTTATCCAAGCCCCAGGCATGATGACCATTCGTGAACCCCATTCTCTTTTCTCAGCCCAGCTTGGTGTTTGTCCGGGGCTGTCTATAAAACCTGAGAGGTTTCCAGGCTCTAGTCTGTGTTTTTAGAGAAGTTCAAATCTGATGCCAAAACTGACAAACCTTCTCCATTCTTTAGGAGTGGAATTTTCCATGGGTGTTTTTATGAGATGTCTTTACATACAAGGTGTGAGGAGGTTTTCTGGGACACCCAAGGAGAAGTCCTGCATTTGTAACAACTGTGACCAGAGGCATTTGCTGAGGGGTAAAGCAAGACAATATTATTTTAACTAGCTTCCAGAAGACACCCAGAGGACCATGTGCAGGGAGTTAGGGTAAAGCTGAGGTGATGGGGTGGCCTCAGGAAGGCTGAGCAAGGGGCCCCATAAAGCATGCTTGCATTGGCAGAGATTCTTTGGGGGTTGAAGTCTCATGAGGCGAGTGCTTCGAGGAAGGTGGCATTAGTGCTGGAAGAATTAGGGTGACTTCCAGTTAGCAAACATAGGCATCGGGTCATTCCTTCACAGAACGCATGTGCTAAATCCACGCTTTGTGCTAAACACTCTGCTCCCCTGAGCACTAGGGTCACTACAGTGGCCAAGACTGTCACCACTGTCCCTGCCAGCCTCACAGGGAAAAGTCAGTATCCAGGGTAAAGTAGAAGGATGGAGTGGTGAGGAAACAACAGGGTTTCCTAGTAACAGATCAGTGAATGTAAATGCTGAGCAAAGTAAGGGAACAAGAAAAAGGCTAGTTGGGCAAAACAGAACTGTTCACAAAGGAATGCAGTGACGTAAAATCCAATTGCTTTGGCCAAGTACTACTGGAGAGCTTAAAGAAATAAAAGGGGAAATGGGGGCTAGAAGTGTAGCTCATGTACCTTCACTGTGAGACCCTAGTCTTAAACATCAGTACTCTAGAACCCATGCATCAGACTTTCACAGAAAGACACACGCCTCCACTAGTGTGTGTGTGTGTGTGTGTGTGTGAGAGAGAGAGAGAGAGAGAGAGAGAGAGAGAGAGAGAAACCTTGAGATGCTTCTCCTTACAACAGAACTGCATCTTAAGACAAGAAAGACAAGGAACACACTAAGAGTAAGTGGAAGACTGGGGGGGGACATAACTCGGCAGCTGAGCACGTGCTGGGTATACAATACCATGCGCTAACATAACAACTGGCTGGAAAAGGGCGGCAGGGACAGATCATGTTCCACTGTGGACAGGACTGGATTTCCATTCTGATCTACCTTATGACTCAGGTCATTCGTTTAATCTATTCAACGAGCCTAGTAGCTGGTATCATCTCTTAGGGCATTGAAAAGGTTAAACAGGAAGGCACCCATGGTTACTACTGGGGCTGCCTCCTTTATTGGCTGGAGTATATGGGCAGCATCACTCCATTCCCTTCTGGTCACTGGACACTTGGCAGACATCAGTCCCCAGAGTTCTGGGCTCAGAAGTAACCAGCTTCTTCTTGTTTTTCAGGATGAAGATGATCTAGCTCACGCCCTGATCTGGCCTGAGATTCAACAGGAACTGAAAATCATTGAATCAGAGGAGGAGCTCTTGTCATTGCCACCCCCTGCTCAGAAGACAAGCCCAATTATTGAGTCAGGTCCAGCCCCATCTCCCTTCCCAGAGGCCTCTGGGAGCTCACCCTGTAGTTCTACACCTCTGGAAATGTGGACTAGGGACTCAACCAATCAGAGCACACAGGAGGCTGCCATCCTTGCCAATAGAGAGAAGTTGGAGCCCGTCTGCAGCCTCCCTGAGTCAGAGTGTAAGCAGGGACTCAGCCCAGACCCGGCCAGTCTAGCACCTCTGCAAATACTTCTGTTTGAGAAGGCCTCTTCTCCAGCTAGGATAGAGATGGGAGGCCCAAGAAATCTCTCTCCACCACTTCCTCCTGCTCCTCCACCTCCAACTCCCCTGGAGGAGGAGCCTCGAGTCTTGCTGTCAAAGGAAGGCCCTGACAGAGAAGAAGCATCCACGGATTCCAGGACAGATCCCAACACAGAGCAGCCAAACCCCAAAGTCAACCCTGGCGTCCCTAGCCCCTGTCAGAGAGAGGAGGCCATTACAAGCCCTAAGGAGAAGCAAGATGCAAAGCCTGCTGCTCCTGAGAGCGAAGGCCCTGGTCTCCCAAGCCCAGCAAAGGAGGTCGAAGTGGCCCCACAAGAGGAGGAGGATGCCCCCCATGCAGCACAAGAGCCTTCAGACTGTGACGAAGATGACACTGTGACAGACACTGCTCAGCATGGCCTGGAGATGGTAGAGCCATGGGAGGAGCCCCAGTGGGTAACCAGTCCCCTTCATTCTCCCACCCTGAAAGAAGTACAGGAGTCCCAGGTACAGTGTCACCATGGCCACCGACTGGAGAGGAGACTTTGCCACAGGCCCAGCCTTCGCCAGAGCCATTCTCTGGATAGCAAAACCACTGGTCAGAGCCACTGGACTCTCGAGGTTTCCTTCTCCAGCAGTTGTGCTAATCTTGAAACAGAGGGGAATTATGAGCCTCTGAAGCCCCCCACAGCCAGGAACAAGAGTGCTGGGTGGGAGGAAAAGGCCCTGAAAGCCTTCAGAGAGTTCTCTGGCTTGAAAGGGTTAGAGGTTCTTCCCAGCCAGAAGGGATCATCTGGTATACCACCCAAACCAGTAGAAACCAACTTCATCAGTCTGGCAGAAGGAAAGGAGCAGGGACCACAGCTGGAACTCAACAACCCTCAGATGAAACACAGTGATGTTCCTGGGCCAGAAAGCAGCATGGAGAGTTCACCTAGGGCTCAAGACAGCACCTCACCTGGGGAGCATGCCCTAAAGTCACAGCCTAAGAGCAATGAGTATGGACCCTCAAAAGGGAAACACAGGCCTTCTTCCCTCAACTTGGACTCTGCCATGCCCATAGCTGACCTCTTCCGACTTGAGAATGGGGCTTCATTTAGTTCACCTGGAATAGAGATCTCTGAACTAGGAGACACGAAGGTCACCTGGATGACCTCCTCTCACCGTAAAACAGCCCCTGGGAACTCCCAGGACACCCAGGACCTGGACATTGTTGCCCCTGCTCTGACAGGCCGCCGGAACTCAGCTCCCGTGAGTGTGTCTGCTGTGAGAACATCCTTCATGATCAAAATGTGTCAGGCCAAGGCTGTCCCTGTCATCCCACCCAAGATTCAGTACACACAGATCCCACAGCCCCTGCCCTCTCAGAGTACAGGGGAAGGTGGGGCTCAGTCTCCAGAGAGGAACCATGAACCTGGTTCAACCACGGAGAACCCTCAGAAACCCACCAAAGATGATCCTCCCTCTTCCCTGGAAAACCCAGAGGAAGAGCAACCAAAGCAAGAGGCAGGAGCCTTTGCATCCCAGAGGAAGGGCAGCACCACATCCTGCACATGTGAGGGGTCCATCTGCTCTCCAGAACCTGGAATATCCAACCTGCTCTCCACACAGGATGCAATGGTGCCATGCAGAAAGTGCACATCAGAGACAGAGACAGAGCCATCAGGAGACAACCTTCTTTCTTCAAAACTGGAGCGAGCGTCTGGGGGTCCTAAGTCTTTCCACAGGTCAAGGCCAGGAAGACCTCAGAGCTTAATCTTATTCCCCATCATGGACCACCTACCCTCCTCATCCACAGTGATAGATTCCAAGGTCCTGCTGTCCCCTATCAGAAGCCCTACTCAGACAGTTTCCCCTGGCCTTCTCTGTGGGGATTTGGCAGAAAACACATGGGTCACACCAGAAGGGGTTACGCTTAGAAATAAAATGACCATCCCCAAGAATGGCCAAAGACTAGAGACTTCAACAAGCTGTTTTTACCAGCCCCAGCGGAGATCCGTGATTCTGGATGGAAGAAGTGGGAGGCAAATAGAATGACACCAGTTGGCCTGCTGGTGTCTGCAAAAATGTCAGGTTCATCTGGAAGTTATTATGGGGCCAACTGGCCATTTTCCAGGCACAAGTTATCTAAACCTCTGACCACCCCCTCTCCCCCACTTCCCCTGCCTCTCTCTTTGTCTTTGACTATGCATGAGTCCATTTGCCAGAAGAGTGGTCAAGACAAGGACCAAAAAGTGAGATTTAAGTAAGTCCACAGGAGCAAGTTGGGAAGGTTAGGCAAGGGAAGAGAATGGAATGCTTGCCTCCAATGGAAATTGGGGCTCGTCTGTAAGTCACGTTATTCCTCCGTTACCATTATCTATTACTGTTAGGAGCCGGCTGTGTTAGTATCCCTTGAAAGAAAGAAAAATCCTTTGCCTGAGTCAGAAAAATCTTCCTGTTTCCATTGAAGGCTTCTTCGTGCTTTTTGTTATGCTCTGTATAGCGTGTGTTCTTTTAGACCCGTTTTCTAATAAGCTCTGTAAAACTGTGTTACCCCCCAGATAGAAGCAGATCTGAAAATGCAAACTAACATGCACTTAAGATAGCCAGGTGAAGGAACTTCCTGTGTTCTTTCCCTGGGGCTGCTGCAAACCTGTCCGAGGTGATCCATGAACCATGTAGAAAATCAGAATCAGTACTCAAGAGCAAAGCCCCAGATTGGCACCACCCATGAACCCTTCCTTTATTGTGGCTTTATTGTGACCCCACCTGCCACTGTGCTGAGCTCTGATTAACAAATCTATCAGCTCGGCACACTGAGGACTGTACATGCTAGGACTGGGAAGTCATATAGGCATGCAGGAGTGATGTGTTGGCTTCCTTAGTAGTACCAGAACCCAAGTGCCACACATCCTAGAGAAAAGGCTCACAGAAAAGCACAACTTCATTATAAACCTGATGTGTTTAAGTTGGCCGGCATTAGGGAGAAACATGCTAGCTCAGCTTCACTCTCCATTCCTAGGCTGTCAGGGCCTAGCAGGACAGAAGAGGCAATGAGGAGCCCCAGGAGAGTGGCTGTCACTGTCATTCACTGTCCTCAAAGAAGCACTGCCTTTAGTCAGTGGTTCCCTTCCTTTCTCCTTCTCTCACCATTACTCAAGGGCAGATTTGAGAAACTCTGTAAACCCCCTCCCCCCGTCCACCTAAACCCTTAGACTTGCTCTTTGACATTGTCTAGACACAAGCAGATGCAACAAACCAATGTGGTGTTCTTCATCTCTGCTGGAAGATTTCTGGTGTTTCCCTTCAAAGACTGAATGGGGCACTTCAGACTCTCGAAAGTTTCTCTAAAGACTAGCAGTACCTCTAGGCTGACCCCAGTCAGAGTCAGTCCTGGACTGGGTAGGGGCTAAGCTGGTCACTTCCAATGGGAATGTGGAAACAGATGCACTGTCACAGATTTCATGTCCTCCTTTTCCTCCCTGGGTAACCTGGAGGATTTGAAATCCTTTTAAGCCAGGGCCTGGGGTAAGGATAACTAGTAAGTCAACTAATGAGAGTGAGCCCACGTGAGGGAGCAAGGGAATAAGTTAATAGGTTTTCAGCCCTTGCTCTCCCATTAGGTGAGGAAAACATTGGGCCAACAGCCACTGAGATGTCAACCCACAAGAAGTCTTAGGACACAACATGTCCCCCTAGTCACAAAAGATGAAGAAATATGGTGTGGAGAGATGAGAAAGGCCATGTTCGGAAGATTTGAAAAGTGCACGCCTAACAGCGTCAGTGTACTTAGGGTGTGCTTTGATAAAGACTAGTTCTGGTTAGAATGCAAGAGAAAAAGAGCTAAGCACCAAAACACTGAAACTACTTAATGATTGAGATTTTCTAATACTTCTAAGATGTATTTGTATTGGCAGGTAGACAGAGAAGCCATCATTTACACAGTGACAAACGACTTCAATTCTGAGGGGCCAATTTCTAAAATGACTGCTGTGCTCCTTTAGATACCATTCATTTATGACACCCTCTGAGAGAATGGCCATGTGGGTGTCTCCATGACCCACTGGCACCTGTTTGGAAATATTCCTTATTCCAAGTTTTCTTAGCCAGTCAATTCCAGAAGGGCTTGGAGGCTTTACCATCTCAGTATCCTGCTCCTCAAGTGTGGCCCTTTTTGATGGTCTTATAGCTTATCAACTGTCACATACATTCATAGATTTTGTGGTCTGGATGAGCCTGGCATTGATGAAATCCCATTCCACAGCAAAGAAATTGTCCCTCGAGATGCCCTGGGGTCACCATTTGGCCACCAGCTGGGGCTCTCATACAGGAATCCTGAGAATGGCCAGGCGAGAATCAGACTGCTTGTTCCCATCCAGGCTCTAGAAGTACCACTGTTGTCGGGACCTGCTGATATGCCAAAAAGAGCAGGAGAGTCACTCCAGAGCAACTGCCAGTCCTCAACATGGGATAGCTCATTATTTAAAGACTGAAGCTCAAACAAAATACATACATGAACCCTTTTTGGCATATGACTGTTGCTTAAGACAATAATCCATATTTATTTGCAAAATGGCCCTCCCAGGACTTTCTTCCCCCTTTTTGCCAAAATGGAGTGGAAAAAGAGCATTTAATTTTTTATTCTCTATTTTTAGAATATGAAAAGATCTGACCAAGATGTCATTATAAAAAATACTATTAGCTTAATCTAAGCCTTGAAACTCAAAGTAGTGCTCAAATTAAAATTCTTGATTCTCGAGACACTAAGAATGTCAATGTTCGCATCCTCATCAAGTACTTATGCTTGGTAACTGGGCACTAGTTACCTTAGCACTCCTACATTGTTGAGGAGTCTAACAAAGAAGGAGGGATGCTGACAAATCAAAAAGCTTGAAACAACTAGGAGCAGGGTGAGGACCACCATTAGATGCCCAAAAAAAGGCAGAAAGCAGCAAGCAACTAGCACCTTTCAGTAGGAATGTTAACAGTATTCAAATGACCCACTAATCTTAAATAATCTAATTAAGCAGAATTGCAAATCCAATAAAATGTATCAATGAGACACTTGGGTGTTGAGAACTTTGTTTTTAAGGGTCAACGTGAAAATGGATATGTTTTTCTGATAGTTTGCATGATCCTCATTGTAAGGTCTAACTGTTGGATGCCTACTTATAAGCCAAGTAGGATCAGATTCCACACACCTTAAAAAAGGATTTGAGAGATTTTGATCATCAAAAGACGAGTTAATTTCTGCTGTTGATGAAGACACAGATAGGTCCAAGACAAACTGTTAAATTCATGTAGTGTTCAACACACAACAATCACATTTGGCAGAGGTTAGGTTGGTAGGTCATTTGTCTACCAAGCCTTGTGTTCCTACCTTAAAAAGCTCTGAAGAACATAAGACTTGTTTGTTTAGGATTGGAATGGAAGAAGTTTCCAGTAGGCCAATTTCTGTGCTTACATAGATTAGGACTACCTTCTGTCACAGCTGGTCCTACTTGATGACAACATGCATCTTGGGATTTGCTGACCAAGAGTATGATTTCAGGCATGTCAAAGAGGAAGGTCAGTTCAAAATGTATGGCAAAGAAGGTGCCCTCCTTTCCTAGCCAAACAGAGGTGAAAGAGGGAGTAAATGCACCTTTCTGGGCAAGAGGAGAGAGATGGCAAAGGGTGATTGGCTGAGGAGACCAGCACCAGTCCAGGCAGAATAAAACAATTGGCACACAGATCACTTAGCTTGAGGTACAAGAGCAATGCAGAGATTGGTTCTCAATGTGAGTCAAAAAAGAGGTAGCTAATGTAAGAAGCTATGAATCCAGTCGTGTGCATCACTGGATGAACTGCAATGCTTTGAACTGACATAATGCCATTGTACTTTCTAGCTTACAATTCTGCAAAGTAAAGCACTTTTTTTCAAAGAAAACTATTGGCAGTCATATGATTGATTCCAAGCTGTTTTTGAGCTCTGCAAATGTTTCCAAAGATATAATCAAAATGTTTTCTATTCATTAAAAAAATATTAAACATGCCCATAGAGAAATTTAAGTGTAATTAAGAGATTGTTATGTTTTAAAATGTACTCTAATAAACCATATAAAATTTAATTCTTGGGATGAAACTATTGGTTAGAGGACATGGGGGGGTCACACAAAAGTAAATCATAAGGCATCAGAGTCATTGTGCTAGCTTGTTCTGTTGGACATCGTTTGGTTGTTGTTACTTCAAGATCAGATTTCACAAATCTTGCATAAATTTGGTTTTGCTTTTTAAAAAAAAAATTGATTGAGAGGGGTTGCTGGAGAGATGGTTCAACAGTTGAGCACTGGCGGTGTTCCAGAGCACCTGGGTGGATTCCTGGCACAAAATTGGGGGCTGACAGCCCTCTGTAACTCCAGTTCTAGGGATTCCACTTCTCTTCTGGCTTCCACCAGGCACACACATGGGCACAGACATACATACAGGCAAAACACCCATACACATAAATCAGGAAGAGAGAGAAACTTATGACGGGGATTTCACTCTATGGATCAGACTGGCCTGAAACTATGTAGTACAGGCTGGTCTTGAACTTGCAGCAATCCTCCTGCTTCAGCCTCCAAAGTGTCAAGATTACATGTATGAGTCGGTATGCCCAGCTTCCATTAGCTTGTTTTTGTTACATCTTAAAAACTCACTGTTTGCAACTTCACTCTCTTACCACAGTCATTTAACCAAGATAACCAGGATAAATTGATGTCCTGTATCCAGTGCAAGTTTTAACATGAAAAAAGAACACAGCTAACTGCTTCTTGGAACTCTGTAGCTTAAGGAGAGCTATAGCCCAGTGAGTAGGCACAGGCTCAGGTTACCTGTTGAACCAGTCAAAGACTTTTGTTTTGGGGGTGGATGCTGTGATTAGTACACCTATGCATATTTGAAGAGTGTGTGGAGCCAGAGATTGATGTAAAGTGTCATCTTGAATCACTTATTTACTAAGGCAGAACCTCTCACCAAGCTTGGAGCTTGTTCATCAGGCCAGCCTAGCTAATCGGCTTGCCCTTGGGATACCCCATATCTCCTGCCAAGGGCTGGGATTAGAGATAGACTGGCCACACCTGTGCAAATTTTATATGTGGATGCCGGGCATCTGAACTTGCACAACAAGGGCTTTGTTCACTGAGCTGGACCCGACCCTGGGGACTAAGTGGTCATCCAGTGTTAGAAAGGGTGAAGCTAACATTTGCTGTCCTGGCATTTACCATCACACACAAAAAAGGTGGGAATTGGGGTGTGAAAGGAACATACATACAGACTAGTCTCTGAACTGTTCACTTTCTGGACTTTGATAAAAGTTCCACCAGGATACTATTCCACCAGATTTTCACAAAGGGTCGTAAGATGTTCTCCCAGTTTCTCACTCCTGTTCCTGCATCATCTCCTTCCCGTCTCACACAAAAATCCTCACTATGAAAATGTATGGTCCCAGCTCTTTTAACTTTCACCCTTCTTTAGATATGATGTAGTCAATGAACCAATTGTCCTAGATTTGGTACCAGGTTCCATTTCCTACTACCATGTATCCTATCAGCACCTGGAAGAATTTTATTGTTCTCAAGGAAAACCTACCAACACCCATGCAATAACTGCACATGGTTCTTTTTATTTTCTTACTCTTACTAGGGCCTCATCTAGCAGGCAAGTACTTTATCACTGACTTCTATATCTGTGAGTCTTTTGCTTGCATGTGTACCTGGTAACCATAGGGTTCAGAAGGTGCTAGGCCCCCTAGAACTGGAGTTACGAATGGCAGTGAGCCACCATGTGTGTGCTGTGAACCAAATGCAGGTCCTCTACAAGAGCAAGTGCTCTTAACTGCTGAGCCACGTCTCTAGCCCTGGGGGGGTCTGCATGATGGGGTTGAAGGGGATGTGGAGACCAGCAGACAACTTTCAGGAGTTGGTTTCCACCATAAGGTCCAGGTACCAAAGCAGTGTCAACATTGGTAGCAAGTACCTTTACCTACTGCACCACTGTGCCATTTCACCATTCCCCAACCTCTGTACTCTTGACTTTTGAGCCAGGGTCTAAGTTTTTCAGACTAGTCTTGAATTCACTCTAGAGTCAACCAGGCCTTGGATTTTGACCCTTCTGCCTCCAGTCCCTAAATGTCAAAGGTTATGGGCTTGTACCATCAGGCCTGTTCACAGCTCTTTATTTTCACCCACTTAAAATTTATTTAGTGTGTGGGAGTGCTGAGTGACAAAGTGCACATGTGGGGGTCAGAGGACAACTTGCAGGTGCCAGTTCTCTCCATGTAGATTTCAGGAACTGAACTCAGGCTGTCAGGCTTGATGGTAAAACACCTTTACCACCAAACCAACTAATGACTTCTGACCATGTGCTTCTAGGGTCACACATAAGGTTATTTCACACTCTGTATTTTGTTACCCTAAATGCCAGTTGTTCCTCTCCAAAACCTTTCTGCTCTTGCTACTTTATTCCATTTGTAAAGATCAGCAGTGCCTGGCCCACCACTATTCTAACAACATTATCAAACTTGCAATCCTTCTGCCTCAGACTCAGAAGCACCAGGGTGACAGGTGTACATTACCACACATGGCTTTATTACATCCGTTTATTCAACCTGCTTGCATCTATCTGCTCTTCTTGTGCCACACCTTCAGAATTCAGCCAAACCAGCTCTCAACAGAGGCAGGATCATGTTTATAAGAACAGTCTAGGGGGCTGGAGATGGCTCCATCAAATTCCCACAAGTACTGAGATTACAAGCATTTGTCACTAGACCTAGCTAAATGTCTAGGGAAAGAAACTTCAAGATCTTAAGAAGCTTCCCTGCCTTCCATTCCTCACAATTACATTTAGGCTGAACCACTTTAAACAGCAAGAAAGCTAATGCACTAACTTCGTGCTTTTCTTCTTTCTCCAATGTACAAAATGATTCCGAGTGAAGTCAATGCTCTTGCTGCCATAAAATGAAGTCCTTGGGCTGGTTGGATGGCTTAGTGGATAAAGGCGCTTGCTACCAAACCTGAGTTCACTCCCTGGTCCAGCATAGAGAGACATTCAACTCTGGCAGATTGTCAGCTGTATCTTCACTGTGGCTGAAGCACATACAGCTTTATCTTGCTGTCTTTTGCTGAAAAATCATATCCTAGAGCTGCAAGATGGTTCAGTGGGTGAAGGCACTTGCCACATAAGCCTGACACCTGACTGCAATTCAAAAGTCCACATAAAGTTAGGAGAGAACTTCAAAAGTTGTTCTAGGTCTTCCAAAGACATGTTCACTGTACACACACACACACACACACACACACACACACACACACACACACACACCACATACACTCGCAAATTAATTTTTTTTTTTTTTTCCTGAGACAGGGTTTATCTGTGTAACAGCCCTGGCTGTCCTGGAACTCACAGAGATCTGCCTACCTCTGCCTCTCAAGTGCTAGGATTAAAGGCCTACACCACCACTGCCCAGCTCACAAAATAATTTTTAAAAGTATTTTAAAGGGCTAGAGATATGGCTCAGTAGTTAAGAGAACTTATTGCTCTTCCAGAGGACCTGAGTTCAGTTCCAAGCACCCATACCTGACAGCTCACAATCATATAACTCCAGCTCCAGGAAATCCAATGCCCCTGGCACCTGCACAGGCACCTGCAACCACACACACAGACACAGAATTAAAAGTAATTTTTAAAAATTATTTTTAAAAACCATTTCCTAAACTGACATAGTAATGCATACCATTACTGTGGAAGCTAAGGTAGGAGCAGTATGAGCTCAAAGCTAGCCTAGGCTACTTCATAAGATTCTGCCTTTAAAAAATAAAATCATCTCATCCAGGAATGGTGGTGCACGCCTTTAATGCCAGCACTTGGGAGGTAGAGGCAGATGGATCTCTTGAGTCCAAGGCCATCCTGGTCTACAGAGTGAGTTCCAAGACAGTCAAGGCTAAACAGAGAAACCATGCCTCATATAAATCGATCGATGGATGGATGGATGGATGGATGGATGGATGGATGGATGGATGGATGGATGGATGGATGGATGGATGGATGGACGAATGGACGGACAGGTAAGTAAATAATCAGTTGTCTCCTCAGTTCACCATGGTGATACACACCTGTAATTTATCATTCCAGAGACAGACACAGGGGGGCTTTGAAAAGACCTTTTCTAAAAGGAAAGAAAACAACAAAGGCACTCCTCAAGGGTGCCATCTAATAGTTGGTGGTCGTGAGCCATTTCAGTCACTAATTTACTCTTTAAAGGACGTCTACTTGTTTCCTTGCCCTGACTTCTCTCTCTCCTTCATTCAGCACTACTACTACACCATGGCATACATCCTTTCTGATTGATGGCTCGCCACATTCCTTCAGGGTGAGCTCTTGCTCACCTTTTGAGAACTCTTCCCCAAGAACTGTTTAGAGTTACGTTTTTGAACTATAAGATGGCGCTTTTTTGCTTCAGAGTCTAAGCAGCTAAGCTCAGACCAGAAAGTAGGACTGTCTATTTGTGGTCTAAAACAAGAAGCTGTAAGTACATCAACTCCCAAAACCATGGCCAGTAGTGACCTAAAGGGTTAAGGCTCACAAATATGAAGGTTCTGAAGTATAAAATTTATTTACTTATTTTGTTATGCTGGGGAACAAACTCAAGTTCGTGCATATGAAACAAGCACATTAACATTGAGCTGCATTTCCAGCCTTTGAGTATGAAATTAAAACACTAATTTTGGACATAGGTCAAATTCTGAGGACAAAGTAGCAACTTCTCATATTTTCCCTTCCCTCATAACTCCAAACACAGTGCTATTATCAAGAGGTAGCAGCTAGATTGCACCTAAGGCTGTTTTGCTGAGGGCTTGCCCCTTCTCCCAATTAGGTATTTTCAATCTCCCCATTCCCTAGAAACCCACAGGGCATTTATAAGCTACACATCTCCCTCATGAGTGTGGGCATGCTACACATTTCCTGTCTTTGAAAAGCATTATTACATATTACTAAGAGCAAAATGAAAATGTTTGGAAGCAAAGGTCATGAAAGAACAAGCAAAATAACATCAATTCCCGGGACACCAGATGAACACCCAGTATCACAAAAACAGGTCAGCAAAGACAAGTGTTTAGAACCGCCTCCTCCCAGTAGGCGGCAACAAAGAGTACCTGACCCAAGATTTGAACCCGCTTTGCTGTGGTTACCCCAGCACTATTAGCATGCTAAATTAAAGGGTATTGGGTGCCAGAAGGCAACTCTATCCATCTCTCTTTTCTACAGCAATAATTATGGCCAGGGGAGGAACTAAAGATAACAAAAGAGACTGGAAAGAAAACAGACACACCAAAGACACTGTGTCAAGTGATATGCAAGACATGTTCCTAAGTGAATGTTACTCCAGAGCCAGACAAACAAGTCAATCTTTTACTGAAGGGGCATCCTCTCATGTATAATATTCAAATACACTAACACATGAAAGATAACATCACTTGTTTATGGATACATTTAATATCCCTTACCCTTCCCAACTTTCAAAACATAATAGTATACAAAATATAAAATATCTTAAATATTTATAAAAATCGCAAGAAAAAAAATAGATCGTATGAAAATATTTTTATCTGAGTTCTCCCTCATGTTGAGAGGCACCTTAATTTGCCTTGAGTTCGTAACTGTTGAGGGGGTAGGAGTATGCCCTGCCTAAGACTATTCTGTCCCGGAGGAGCTTAAATAAAACATAGTAGTTGCAGAAAAGGATGAGTGCCATGGAGAGTGTGTGGTTCCACTTCTCTGACCGCAGCAAGGAATAGAGTTGGTAGAAGACAACACTGCCCTCAATGAGGATAAGCAGGTTCAATAGCCTTAACGGTCGATGAAACAGGAACTGTAAAAAAGTTAAAAAAACAAGATGTTATATCATTGGAAAAGCAAAATTATTGAATTCATTTTCCTAAAACAATTTCATAGTTGTAAGTTCACATAAGGAATACCAAGCAGATCTGCATGTTTAATGTCAAACTATTTCTTGCTATAGAAATCTAAAAACTTTTTCTTTTTGCCCATGATCAATGAAATGATTTTATTGCAAGGCCCCTAAAATGCAAAAACTTATTATGACCAATAAGATTTTTCTAACATGGAATTGTAAATGTTATTTTATCTAAGACATTCCAAAGTATGTTTACCTAAGACCAGACTGGTAAAAGGACCACATGGAAATATACTTTGGCTGAACATGCTTTCCTTCCCCCAAATATTGAAAAGTCAGGTTCAAATGGCATGCAAAGAGGAAAAATGGGAAGTGAGCAGGCATTAGAGCCAGAGTAAAAATGGGGCTTCTTATTTCCACTCATCAAATTTTTCGCTCTAAGGGGCTTGCTAATAAAAAGGCATTCTGAATATGGAGACACAGATGTTGACTCCTCATGGGAGCCCTTACCTGCTGAGAAGGAGTGGACTGGAGTGGTCAGGGGGCAGTGGGAGGAGATGAGGGGAGTGGAGGAGGCAAGAGGGGGTGGGAGGGAGAACTGTGGTTGGAATGTAAAATGAAATCAAAAATGAAAAATAAAAAATAAAAAGGCACTCTGAATATGGAGACACAGATTGCAACATAACATACAACCATACATATTCAGATGAAGACAGATATGGTCTATACGGACATGTCATCTAAAAACAAATAATTTGGATGGAATTTCTGTCTCAGGGGCTTAAATGTAAGAATGAAGCTAAACTGCCTTGGCTGCTCTCAAAGACACTCAGCTTCTCAAAGCAGTCTTCAGGGGAAAGAAAAACTTTAACTTGAATTTTATTAAGATATTCAGCAACACCATGTATAAAACTGGCTCAGAATTACTGTTCTAGAAAGATTAAGAAAAGCCATTTCAGATTCTATGACCAAGTGTAGTTAACTGTACTAGTAACCTAGAAACTGATCAAGTCAAAGTAAAGAAAAGCTCTTAAGTATAACAGCTACTATTGATAGACAGGTTTTACTTATTAAGTTTGATTTTGTGGGGTTTTTAAAAATAGGGTCTTATTCTGTAGTCAAAGGCTGCTCTTGAAACTCCTGATCCTCCAGTCTCTACTTTCCTAAGGGCTAGGGTTACTGATGTGAGCTGCCTCCTAGGCAAACAGGCAGGTTTAAATGAATGTGAGTGCTCTCACACTAATTAAGTATCACTTCAACTACAAAAACTATTACTACATTAAATAGTACTTTAACTTTGATGCACAGATCTCATTTATTTGTTTGTTTGTTTGTGTTTAGACAGAGTCAATATAGGCAAGACTGACCTTGACCTCTTGATCCTCCTGCCTCCACCTCTCAATTGTTGGGATTACAGTAATATGCCACCATGCCAGGCTCAGATACAACATAGCTGAAGGACATCCCTAAACTAAACTATTACCAAATTAAACCGTCAGGTGAAAAAGGAAATGACATAATTGCCTACTTGTTTTTGAGCAATACTATATGGACTTCAAAGACATTCTCATGATCAAGGATAATGTCACAGTAATAGCAATAATCAGCATATTAACCTCCTATCATGAATGACACACCACGCTAGGTGCTTACATACAGAGTGTCCTAATACTTTTAATTTTATGCTTCAAAAATAAGTAAGTGGTACTTGCATAAAAGCGGGCATGGGATACATCTGAAGGCACTGCCACGTTGTAAGGTCCCATGGCTCTATATAAACATCTGCTGTGCCGCACCAACACCCCTTGAGGCCATATTGTGTTTTCTGACCAACTATAGGAGAAAGAAATGAACTGTTAGAATACTGAGAATTAGGGAAGACAGTGTTTTGAAAGGCCAAACTATTTCTATGGAAGAACAGATTAAGCATTCAAGGCTTCATCTGCCTGGATTCTGAACATACATACAGTAATTCCACAGCCAAGCTCTTAGGAGTTAGAAAGGATTTGTTATGATAACTTCATTGTTATACAGTATACAGAAACTGTAAAGTGATACAGTTAACTCAAGTGTTGGAGGACTTACAGGTGCGGGAGGGTGAGCAGGCCAGAAAACAAAGTATAAGGGTGAACTGTCATCTGGATCCCAAGTGGGCAGTAAGAGGACACAAACAAGAAATGAAAGCGATGACAACAAAAGCAAAAGAGAAATTAGCAGCACTGCTAAACTAGAAGACATTTGCTGCGTAATCACACCCCTATACAGGACTGGTTTGTTTATCACATAATTCAAATGTCTCACAGATGTGAAGAACTGTACAGTAGAACACAGACACACACAAGTACTAACACACAGACTTTCCTCTTTACCGCTTCCTTGGTTCATTTCTATAGAGGTTTCTCTACGGAAAAGAAATTAGGGAAGGAAAAGCTTCTTTCTTTCCAGCATCAATGTAATGGAGTTGCAGAAGGATGGAAATCTTCAAATTAAACTTATCTTTTTTCACTTAAATCTAAGTTAATTCATCACTTCCTGATTTTGGAAAGGTTAGTCTCCTAGGATAAGAACTGGGACAGCAGTTTAGATATGTTAAAATAAAAATTACTCTAGCACCCTGAAGCTTTCCCAGTTGAGAACATGTTCCACCGGCCTTGCTCACACTTACCAGCATTAAGGTGATGACACACCTCATGGCCACGTGCCACCAGTAGCCTGAAGATGTACAGTACTAGGACTGTGGATTGTACTTTCAACTGTTATTGAAATCTGTCCTTTGCCCACATTCAGGTTTCTTTTCAGCCTGGCCCAATCTCTTTCAGTTCCTGGGCTTGAAGGCCTGTGCTAATCTGTATCAGACATCAAGGCAGATAATTGAAGGGAGAACTCTGAGGGGGAAGAGGGGAAGGGAAGGTCACCTCAATCTGTTCCATTTAATGGGAGGGAAAACTGGTAGATGAAACTTGTGAAATATTTAAATTATAAAACGGAGGAAGGTGAAGAGGGTCAATATTTGAAGATGGCCCAGGCCTGAGAGACAGTTATGATAGTGGGCTCAGAATTGACAGAATGAAAGCATTTGGGAGTTAGGCATTTTGAACCATGCAAAGAAATGACTAATAATAGCACACAATCAGAGCCAGGGACAGTTTTCATTTAAGTAAAGGTGAAGCAAGAAAACAGTACAGAAATTAGGAAGAAAAAGGAAAGAATTATAAGCAAGGAAAATTACTAGCCCAGATCTGCACTTATGAGAAAAGACAAAAGCAGCAAATTCTAACTATTTAGCTGTGGCAATGGAGATGAGAACACAAACCATTAAGTCTTACAAAATAGCTTAAAATATATGTACATATATTTTACATATTTGTGTACATATATACACACACATATATATCTATCTCCAAATACATTTGGATTTGGGCACAGGGTAAAGACTGAAAGAAAAACCCAGAGTATAACGCACTCGAGTGACTGGGCAGCTGAAATGTGGACCCACTGAGAAGGAGGTGGCGATGGTGGTGGAAATGAGTTAATGCCCTGTAGTCTTTTTTAGTATGATGGCAAGCATACACGTAAACAAAAACCAAATGACGTTTAAAGCTGAGACCGACACACAAAGCATATAAAAATGACCAGTATCATGAAGAGAAGTGTTGCATGGTTACCCTCTAACCTACTCACATGTGCTGTGGAGCATTGCTGTAGAACCCATGTTCCAACTTCTGCCACTTGCCCAGGTGAGCAGCTGATTTATGTAACAAATCACAGTATTTGGATGGTAGCAGTTGCGTGGTGAGCATGACAAAAGCATTGATCCACACCATAATGAGGTGCTCACATGACCAGCGCATGTCGTAATACTGGGTACTCTGGAAGAGATCATAAGAGAAACGATCCATGCACTGGCAGTGAACAGAGGCAGGGAAGGGTGTGTAGACATATGCCCTGCAGACAAATGCCACTCTGAGTCAACATGCACTGGTTGTCCTGCTGTCCGTGAAGAAACTTCAGGAACAGAGTCCTCCACAATCAACCTGACTTTCTGGCTGTGCGAGTTAGGGCTGGGAGGGAGAGCAATTATGTTCTAGGTGCTTCCTTTCTGGAAGAAGTGAGTGCTTCTGAAGGGCCAGGCCAGCTGCAGATGTGCTTCTGAATGGGTGACAGGAGGACACTAGAATGTCCCAAAAGCTTTTGGCCCCATGTGATATCCAGACCATTTATCTTTTCTATTGAAATAAATTGAGTTTAGATAGAGGTTAGGTAAAAATTCAAGATGACCCTGTTAAACACCAACCAGAGCAGGCTAAATTTCATTGAAATCTTGGTTCTCTTAAGCTGCTATGTAATGATTCTATTGTAGGTTCAATCTTTATTTTTCCCAAAAACTTAAAAAACATTAAAAAAAAAAAAAAAAAAAAAAAAAAAAAAAAAAAAAACAAAGAAAGAAACGGGGGAGCTACCACAGGGTGCATCACATATATGGAAATACCTATCCGCCAACCAGGAGCGGTATTAGTGCACTCCAGATGCAGCCGAACTCCACCATCCAGGCTGCCAAAGGGGAGACAGAGAAAAGGGGAATTAAACAAGAAATACCTAGTTTATGTAACTGACACACAAATCCAGGGAGTGTACACAGACAGCAGGATACCTACTTACCTTCACAAAACACAGTGGGAGAAATGCAACGTAGTAGGCACTGAAGAGGGAGTTGAAGAGAACTTCCTTGATTCTGTGGTTGAAATCTGCTTTCAAACATTCTACTTCATTTCGAATGAGATCAGGAGAGAGGGGACAGCTGTGGGTGGGGATGGGCGTGGCATTATTAAACTGTTCTTTTAGAGACTCCAGCAATAAGGAGAGGAAATCTTTGGATTTGGCCAAACTGCCCACATTCGAAGCACCTTCCTCTACTGCCTGGTGCTGAACCACATAGTCTGTGAGAAGAAGATGTGCTCTACTATCTTGGTGGAAACAGCAGAGAGGAACATAAACACCAAACCTGTAACACAAAATGAGTATGAAAATGAGATTAAGCTCACACATCATATACCTATGTCACGGTCTACCTAAGAGAATGTAACCTCAAGGGGTCTGAGGTTTTGTTTTTTGCTTTTTTTTTTTTTTTTTTTTAACAAAAGCAGAATGAATACACTGCAGAACAGTACAACACATAAAAGGCCCAACGACAACATATAAACACCTAGAAACAATCATTTCTATCTAGCACACAGTTTTCCAGAGTGCAAGTTTTCTACATGGTCACTACCAGGGGTCAGGGTCCGAGCTGGGTGTTTCCAGGTTCTTGGACTCTTATTCAAAGAACTGAAATAAAGGCTCAGGCAGACACCCTAGGCCCAGATTAATGTTCGGGACTTTTCTGGGGTTCAGGAGGATGACATTAGCTACTAAGGAGTGTAATGAGGGTGGAGCTCTCTTTTGGTTGACAGATTAGGTCATATAATCATTTTGCTACTGTGCATGTCCCTTCTCATAATGCATCTGATTTTAATTGTGTACTCTAAATTATGTATTTGCATAATATGGTACATAGAAGATTTCCTCCCCCAAAATTCACTTCAGGACAGTTTGACTGACTGCTCATCCACCCTAAACCAGTCCAGGTCAGATCAGTCTTTGCATTCCTTGTTGGGAATATATTTGAAAAGAAACTGATGGGGCTAGAGGGATGGCTCAGAGGTTAAGAGTGCTGACTGTACTTCCAGAGGTCCTGAGTTCAATTCCCAGCAACCACATGGTAGCTCACAGCCATCTATGAGATCTGGTGCCCTCCTCTAGTGTGCAGATATACATGGGAGCAGAATATTGTATACATAATAAATAAATAAATAAATAAATAAAATCTTTAAAAATAAAAAAAAGAAAAGAAACTGTCTCAATCTGAGAGTTGTTAGGAGAGAAGAAACCTACTTGACACACTGTTCAGAGAGGGATGGGGATGGATATGAAGCTGATTGCAAGTGGGGTCCAGGGTTGCTAGATGCATTGTTCAGAGAGGGATATATGCATAGTACATGCAGGTAAAGGATCTGGACTGTCAAGTACCTTATTGGGGCGGAGACAGTACATAACAAAACCAAGTAGAGTCACATAATACTGAATTATTCCATATAATTGCCTGCCTCATTTCCTCCACAGACTTTACCTACCACTCTTCGTGTGTTTAATAGAATTATTTTGGGGTGATGGTATTATTTTCTTGGGTTACTTTCTCTCATTACCAATTTAAACTCTACTAAGCAATTTAAATCTGATTAATTCACTGATGTACTTGGTACCTAAAATAGTTCATGAAACAGAAGTCTCTCAGAAAATATTTGATAAATTAATGAAAAAGAACAATAAATTTCTATACACAATAATACTCAGTTAAAGAACTGAATTTTTTGAGAATTTTGACAACTTCTCTTTCTATTCTAGGGATTAAACTCAGGATTTAATGCTAATGCTTTATGTTTAACGCCCATGTTAAGCACTAATCTACCCTGGGTTGTATACAGCTCCCAACCATCCATGTGAATATCTTAGACTTATTCTAACTATTGACTCCTTAAGCAGTTTAAGTATCCCCAAGTCTTCATTTGGTAACTGCCATGATATGAACTAGATATTGTAAATAAAACGGTCACTTCACTGATATCGATTCAGATATAAAAAATATCAGTAAAAAAGCATGTCATTTATTTCATTTTAATAACAAAACTAACAAATGACACTTGTTCATCATTTTCTATGGAGGGAAAAGGATGAACTATTTACTAATTGAGAGGATGGCTTATAATAGCTCCAAGACCTACTGTGAACATGCCCCAGAACATATCCCAGAGAATGGGATAGGATGGGATCAAGAGGCACAAGTATCAGGTAGAAAATGCCTTTTGCGCTTGGGACCATCAAACAAGTACACTGCCAAAAGTCTGAGGCCAACCTTGGCTACATAATGCATTCATTCCAGGCCATAATGCATTCATTTGTTGAGACCCTGTCTCAAACAAAAACAAAAACTAATTTAAAATCTCTGCAGACAAAACTATGATAGCTAAAGTTTCATTAAATTCAATATTGCTGAAACACATTGGGCAGTGGTTGGTGCACCCCTTTAATCCCAGCACTCGGGCAGGAGGATCATTGAGTCTGAGGCCAGCCTGGTCTACAGAGTGAGTGCTAGGACAGTCAGAGCTACACAAAAAATGCTGTCTCAAAAACTAAACCAAAACAAAATAAAACAAATTGCTGAAATGCAAGATGAACATCTAGAAATGACAGTAAGAGGCTAAGTGTAGAATAGAGTGTGATGGCAACCCTAATTCTTCAGCCTTCCTTGTAATCTCACACATCCTATGTGACTGCATGGCTTCATCCTGTGGGTTAGGTGATCAACTCCTATCACATGCTGAGCTCAACAATGTGGCTTGTTTGGGTCAATTACAATGCCAGCCAACATGGTACAATCAGAAAGCTCCTCCCCAGTGCTGGGATTAAAGGCGTGTGCCACCACCGCCCAGTTGTTTCTCCAACTTTTAAATTGATGCTTATATAAAAGGTAGATTATACAATTTTCAAAACATAAAAAGGTAAATATATTTAAACCTATGATCTGTTCAAATTGCATGTTTATTACTATTGCACAGGATATGGAGAATAAATAAAACTTTGGCAGGGGTGGGAGTGGTGGCAAATGAAGCAATGCCTCAGCATGTAGCCCTGGCTGGTCTTAAACTCAAAGAGATTCACCAGTCTTTGCCTTCCAAGTACTGAGAATAAAGCCATAAGCTTCTCTATATACTTAAATGAAAAAGTCTGCTAGCCATCTTGATGATCAAATTCCTCCTAAACTAGAAACTTTTACTAGGCAAACAGCACTAACTAAAACATTCTCCACTGAGAGGATAGTCACATATCTCGGTTTCCCCAGAATGCTATTGGTTTATACCTGTGTCCCCAACTACCCTTGTTTAGAAAACAAATTGTATAGTGCACCTATCTACTAGCTTTCTAATTTTCTAAATTCTTACTTTATATTTGAAGAATCTCATTTTCCCCTCCATTATATCATTTGCATAACTCAGATAACTTCTAAAGATTTGTTAATAAAATGTAAAACTGAAATACTCACGGGTAGCCAAGGAAGAGGAGATTGAGAACTGAATGGCTTCGGAAGAGATTAACCAGGGTCCAACAGAGCACCCATCCACACAGAGTAAGTAGCACCAAGCGGGCCAGTATCAGAGCTGTGTAGTGAATCATAGACGCTGCACCTGCCTTAGTGGCCTGCAAGTGTGGGAGCACCAAAAGAAACATTTTATACATTTATACACTGTCTACTCAACAGCAGTGTGCCCCAGAGTAAGAGCTTGGATTTAATGAAAACTAAACTGCCTCAAGAAAGTAAAACCTTTGCCCAATCACACCTACCTTCCTAGCAGTTGAAAATTCACTTCTCTAGGCACTGCTATTTCCTTCTTTTCCTGTATAGCCCTCATGCAGACCTCTTATGAATTGGTACAAGTATCACTCATTTACACCTGGCCCAGAACCATTCATCAGAATGTACCAGACTGCTTACTAAACGCATCAATACCAAACTTTCTTGGCCAGAAATATGCAACAAGATTCTGAACCAATGTATTGGTATTTCAACAACCTAAGTGATTTTATGTACAAACAAGTTGGAAAGGTGCTGGGCCTGGTGGTGAGGCCTGTAGTCCCAGCCATGTAGGAGGTGGAGGCAGGAAGGTCACAAGTTGAAAACCTGCCTGAGCTACAGATCAAGTTCAAGGCCAGGCGGGCCAGTTTAGGTGGGGATTCAGGTTCAACACCCAGTGTTGAAGGAACAAAAGACGAAGAGGCACTGACTATCCTCTCCTGATATCCTCCCAGACAACAAGGGCCTCAATGCTTCTCTTTTAGATCTTTACTTCTGCACTTTTTGCGGATGATTATTTAATAAACTACTAAATCTCCACAAAGTAATCACATCTTCTTTGATAGATTACTGTGAATTTCCTTTTAAACTTCTTCTGCACACAAACAATGAATTATCACATTTAATTCTTTTATCACAGTTGCTCAAATATGCCTCTTTAATCCCAAATACTTAAAACTAACTACATGCAGGGCTGGAGAGATGGCTCAGAGGTTAAGAGCACCGACTGCTCTTCCAGAGGTCCTGAGTTCAATTCCCAGCAACCACATGGTGGTTCACAACCATCTGTTATAAGATCTGGTGTCCCCTTTCTGGTGTGCAGATATATACAGAAGCAGAATGTTGTATACATAATAAATAAATAAAAAAATCTTAAAAAAAAAACAACTAACTACATGCAGTAAGAAAACATCCTTATCAAAAGTTGAAGCTTTAGATACCATGTTTTCTTTTTCTCTAAAATGATGTAGCAAAGACATGAATAAACTGCAGGGAAATCAGCAGGCCCCATTCACCTCTAAACACCAGTCCTTTTGTTTGTTGTTTTCATTTAGAGACAGGGACTCTTACTTTGTACCCTAGGCTGATTTCAAACTCATTACCCTTCTGTCTCAACCTCCTTTGGGATTAAAGGAATGTACCAATTCAAAACAGTAGTCTTGGGACCAGAAAAAGAGTAAAATTGATCTGTAGTCACCAATACACATTGAGAGGATGGTGTTTTGAATCTCTCCTTTATGTCCATGCCTTAGTTTACAGAGCCTAGTACTTAACATATACAATGTATATGTACTACATACTACACTAATGCTCAGGAAAACAATTCCATTGACTGAATACATTGTAGTGGTTGAATAAAATTAAGGGAGAGTTGTATGCTATATATCACATGTCTTCCTCCCAGGTACTTGGGAAGTGGAGGCAGAACTGCTTGAGTCCTGGAGATTGAGGTGAGTCTAAGCAACACAGCAAGACCTCATCTCTAAAAAAGACAGCATTAAATAAACTTTAAAAACTCCTCTTGTCTAGTGGCATAGCAGTCAGAATGTCACAATTCTGTGTGTGTGTGTGTGTGTGTGTGTGTGTGATGTTGATTCAAACATTCCTACTATACTTTTAGTTGTATAAAAGTATAACATAGTTACATACAATATTATGTTTGATAAAAACTATTGGAGCTAGATTATATATCATACTTTATCATTATCTTAATGTTACTCCTTAAAAGCTTACTGTAGAACAGTACACAGTATAATGCTAGCAGCATCACCTCTTAACTACATCAAGAAGCCACATGGGATAACTGACAGCCACCATCCAAGTTTGTGCAAATATATACCACACAATGTTCATACAATGAGAAACTCGGGCTGGAGGGATAGCTCAGCCATTAAAGGCTAGGCTCACAACCAAAAATATAAGAGAAACTCTAGCAATGCATTTCTCAGATCGTATTTAGTCATTGTAATACATGACAGCATTTGTACATAAGCTTAGACACACACACACACTGCAGATACATACAGTATATGAAATGTGAAAAAGCATTAAATGAGTACCATTTTTTCTGCTTAAGCCTCAAACTGTGGGAATGGCTCAAGATATTTTCAGCTATAGCAGAAAAAATGGTTCCATTTCACACCTGAATACACAACCTACATCAATGGACCTCCTGTGTCAAATCCTGGGAAGTTATTTAAGCCACTGGAGTGACTCCACTGCCTCCATTCTCAGTTTAAAATTAAAAATTTAAGAGAAGGCAAGCTGGTAGTGTGGCACATACTTATGTTCCCAACACTGAGGAGCTGAGACAGGAAGATCATGAGTTTAAGGCCAGCCTGAGCTACACAGCAAGACTGTCTCAAAAACTAAATAAAAGACTGCTTCTGTATAGTGGCACTAAAATGGATTTGTATAGCTTGGTAATTCTGCCTTATTCCAGAACCCAAACTCTTAACCACTGTGATGTAAGTTACAAAGCCTATATGTGGTACAGAACCAAGGTGATCAAAACAAAACAGCTCTAGGAAGCTACCCAGTCAAGAAATGCAAGTATTAAACTTCAACAACTGAAGTCTGATGAGTGCTACAGGAAAGACCTGAGCTACCAGGAGAACACATGACAAGACACTCAATGGGAAGAACTTAGGGCCTGGTAGAGCAGACCTGTGATCCCACATACTGAGGCAGAAGACTCCAAGGCCAAGGCCTGCCTGGGCTCAAGGTGAGTTCAAGGCCAGCCTGAGCAATTTAGTGAGACCCTGTCTCCAAACAGAAAGTAAACATGGGCTATGGCTATAATGTAGCTTTCTAGGTCTCTTGCTTAGTGTGTGCAGAAGTCCTGTATTCAGTTGCCAGGATCCCCACCCCATGTCATTGTAAAGTGATATTTATATTTAAGCTGAGACCCGAGAAGGAAGCTCTGGCCAGGAAAAGGGTAGAAAAGTATTCCTAACACTTAAGTGACAAATATACAGATAATGCTCTCAAAACACATGAAAACTACATGAACACAAACACACACACACACACACACACACACACACACACACACACACACACACACACACCACACACACACACCAAACTTTTATGTGCATATAATGATTAGAAGGAATTTGGTTCTTTATAATGGGAATGTAATTTTTAAATTTTCTGCTTTGTGTTTAGTTTTCTCCAATGAAATACCCTATTTTCCTGCTTAGAGAAATAATATTTAAAGAGAGTTGGTTCCAAGTGGTGAAAGTTGAATTTATATTTAGTCTCATGGAGCAAGTAAAGAAGCAGTTTTGGTCTGGAGGTGAATAAACAGAGTCTACCTAGGGAGAGGGGTAGTCCCTCTGACAGTATTCAGCTTTCTGAATTAATTACCTCCAGCCTGTCCTTAAAAATGACTGGTCTTTCTCAGGTAGGGATCCTTTCTGTGGCATAAGAAAACAAAAGAAGGCAAACATATTTTAATGGAAGGCAGAAAAGATGTTTTATGATGAGCTTTATCCATCTAATTTAGATATTTTAGGAGAGAACTATGATACAGCTCTAATTTGTTTAATTTTTGAATAGGTAGTAGCCACAGCACTCAGATATAAAAGATAAACACAGTGTTTGTGGTGAAGTGCTGGTATTGTCCCCAGTCACCAACAGATGCCTGGCATTAGTCTGCATATCCTCCCAGAGACCAATTTTTTCACATCAGCAAACAGACTTTGTTCCTTCTACTCGTCTTGTTTTAAACACTGTCTTAAAGCCAGGAATGATGGTACAAGCTTGTAAACTCAGCACTCAGGACATTGAGACAGACAGACAGTCATGTGTCCAAGGCAAACTTATGTTACATAATTAAATACCAGACCAGCCAGGGTCACATATTAGAACTTTTTGTTAAACAAACCAAACAACAACAAACCCACTCTCTTTAAAAGCCCCATGCTTCTGTGTTTACTTAACGTCAACACATAAACACCCTATCACCTTTCAATAGCTACACACTGCTCCATTATATAAATGTACTGTAATTTACTCTATACTCCCCTCATGTACAGTAAAGATTTCAATTTTGAATTAAAAATCTGCTTCAATTCAGCATCTTGTTTCACTAAGAAAGGCAGGAAACAGCACATACTCCTAACATGGGGCAGAAGCTGCTTGATTATTATTACATCATCAATAAAAGCAGTAAGTGCTTCAGGTTTTAGTCTCTGCAGAAACAGGTAGAAATCCCAGTTACTAAAGCTTCAGACAAAGACAGGACAAAACCAGTTAACACGTGTAGTAATTCGTGTAGCCTAGACTGACCTCAAACTCACTGCGTACCCAGGATAGTCTTCTTCCTGATCTTTGCCTCTGCCTCCTGAGTACTGACTGGCATTACAGGCATGCACTATCACACCTAACTAACAACTACAATTTCTAAGTAACTGAAGAAATAAAACAAAACGAAACTACTTAGTTAAAAACAAAAGAACAAAGGAATTGCTCTAAATAAAGTTGTTTCTAGGAAAATTCAAACTAAGCATCCAGTAAGAAAAAAAATAAAATAAAATAAGGGGGGGGGTGCAGGGCATCTAGGCTAGGCCTGTAACTTAGCTGTTTGGGAGACTGAAGCAGGACAGAAAGTTCAAGGTTTGTCTGGTCAACAGAGTGAGTTCAAGGCCAGTTTAGGCAATTTAATAAGACTCTATCTCAAAGTAAGTAAAAAAAGGGCTTAGGAATATAGCTCAGTGTACAGCACCTCCCTAGTATGCATGAAGCCATGGTTCTACCCAGCACTAAAATAAAGTTTCTTTTTTGAGTATGTAACCAAGGCTGGCCCTGAACTCACTACATAGCAAGGCTAGTCTTAAACTGCCGATCATACAGCCTTGTGTTGGTACTTCAGACATGTGCCAGCACATCAAGCTCAGCATCTACTTTGATCATCTGAAACAAACTTGGTGAAAGGCTTCCCACTGTGGAAAAAAAGCAATCTTACTACCAAAGCTTTGCAGTTAAGTTCAACTATTGTGTTCACAAAAATCCAGTCCCTGAGTTAGAGCCCACACATATAGACTTTTAAGTCTGCTCTAGAGGAAAATGCTAGGGTTGGAGAGATGGCTTGCAGCTCTTCCAAAGGGCCAGAGTTTGGTCCCCAGTACCTACATCAGGTGGCTCACAATCACCTAAAACTCCAGCTCCAAGAGATCTGACCCCTCCTCTGCCCTCCATGGGCACCAGCATGTATGTGACATACACTCACACAAACGCATACACATACACATTAAAAAAATCTTATAGAAGAGAAAAAGTTGAGTTTCAGTTACCTGTGACTATAGCAAATCCATTTAAAATTTCAAACTGAAATATAACTTTCCAAGATTTAAAATCACTAATCACTTTGGCTAAGTTACCATTTTTGTCTGGGCCATCATTTTCATGCTAAATATAGCAGAATTTATGAAAGCACATTTTCCTCCCTCATCAAGTTCACGCATATATGAGAAATGATACCAACGACTAACTTTGCCAATAACATTACGCTTTTAAAGGATTATTATGTCCCAGTTCTTACCTCCTCTGTCCACTAAAGCTTAGGTTCTAATTTTCAGATTAAATCACACCCAAAATTTAACACTGTCTTTCCAAAACTATAAGTTCTAATAAACTCAAATTGTTTCTTGTTAGGAAATTTCACAAGTGGTATACAAACCATATGTGAAAGTAATTCATTACCTGTTTTAAACTAGAACTTTAAAATTAAAGTTGCAGGGCTGGAGAGATGGCTCAGTGGTTAAGAGCACTGATTGCTCTTCCAGAGGACCTGGGTTCAATTCCCAGCACCCACCTGGTGGCTCACAACCATCTGTAACTCCAGCCCCAGAGAATCCAACAGCCTCACGAAGGCATGAGTGCAGACAAAACATCAATACACATAAAATAAAATTAAATAATTAAGTAAAGTCTTTTAGAAAAAATAAAGATTGCATTTTAAAAAATCTGTAAGCTAAAGTAAGCTCAGATCCTACAATCCTACAAATTAGATTTCAAATAATTCTCTTGAAATACTTCACATTTGGGTTTTTAACACTGTAGGAAAACTTCTTTCTTAAGAACTGGAACAACTCACACAGAGGCAATTAATTTATAACTGTATTAAAATTGTACTTGGTCATTTCACATTTTGAGTCTGATCCCATTCTAGTAGCAAAGCCCAGCCACAGGTGATAGAAGATAGTGAATGAGCCAATATACCTCTGAAATGAGGGCCCATACAAGCCTCCTCGCAAGCATCACTGTGATGAATGCTGCCAGGTGATAATCAATGAGATGAAAATTCTATAAGAGAAACAAAAAGTGCGTCAGGAAGAGGCACCGTGTGTCCCCAGCTCACTGCTACACAGTGGCAGCAGAACCCCACCCCTCTGTAGGTCTTCTGAGACCACTGCAGAACACAGGGGTCCAGATGACCCCAAGACTGCCAACTTGCCACTTCTCTTTTCATGACAAACATCCACATCTTTCCAAACATTAAATAACTATCTAAAATGCATTCCCCTCTGCTTTTGAAACTGCTTTATTGAAAAGAAAGAAGTTGGGCACAGTGATGACACATGCCTGGTCCAGATAGCAAGACACTATCCCAAGAAAAGAAAGAAAAAAAGACAACATGGAGTTAACAAGTAATAACCTGCAGAATTATAAGAACAACAAATCTAAATGCCACATTTACAGTGTCTCCAATTACACAGATCAGCTGGGACTCAGAGTTTTCAGGAGTTACTATTGTTCATCCCTTTACCACGAGTATCTACTGCTTAGCCCTCTACTATTCGGTATATCTGCTCTGCTCATTTAAGTGTGTCTAACTTGATTTAGAAATGTGCCTTGCTGCTCATCTCTTCTATAAACAGTCCTTACCCAGTTTCTTCTAAGTCTGTATATAGTACTGTGACAAGGAGAATGAAAGCTTTGGGAATAGTATGCTAGGAACCAAAATGGGATATATTTTAATTCTCATGGTCAAAAGATCTTCAAGTTTCAACAAAGTTTCAACATTAGATACATAAATATGTATCTAATACTCAAAAGTATAGCAGGTACCCTTCCTGACACCAAGGACACTGTGCTGAGGAAGACAAATATTTTGTAGTCCTCAATACATACAAATTAACAGAACAGAGGCTTTTTGTTTACATAATGTGTATGTCAAGTCTTCTGACTAGAATCACAGACATTTTACATAAACCCTTACAGAAAACTCTGATTCATGATTATCACTGCCCTTCTAAATTATAACAGAAGAGACAAAAAAAAAAACCCTACAGTTTGCCTTTTAAAAAAAAGTTATAATTTTTAATTATGTGAATGTTTGTCTGTGTGTGGGTATGTGCACATGCGTGTAGGTGCCCATGGAGGACAGACGAGGGTGCCCTCTATACCTGAACTTACAGGTTGCTGTGAGTCAAAGAGGTCATATGTGGGAACATAATGTAACTTGGGTCCTCTGGAAGAAGAGGAAACATTCTTAACTGCTAAGCCATCTCTCTAGTCCATAATATGCTTTTATGTACTCAGCACACAGAGCTAGTTTTTGTGACAGAATACAATTTTTTGTTGTTGTTGTTGTTTGTTTTTCAACACAGGGTTTCTCTGTGGCTTTGGAGGCTGTCCTGGAACTAGCTCTTACAGATCAGGCTGGTCTCAAACTCAGAGATCCACCTGCCTCTGCCTCCCGAGTGTTGGAATTAAAGGTGTGTGCCACCCTCAAATTGATATGACATTCTTTGAAGGTCCCCCATGGAAGGCCTCACCCTCCCTGGGGAGCAGAAAGGGGATGGGATAGGGGATCAGGATCGGTGGGGGGCAGGCAAGTGGGGAGGGAGAGGGAACTGGGATTGACATGTAGAACAAGACTGTGTCTAATTTAAGTAAATTTTGAAAGAAAGAAAGAAAGAAAGAAAGAAAGAAAGAAAGAAAGAAAGAAAGAAAGAAACCAACCAACCCTGGGTTCTAGCTCCAGTACCTCAGAACCTGGGCACCTGTAATCCCAGCTTTCAGGAAATAGGGGGAGGAGGATTGACATGTCATCCTTATTATACAGTGAGTTGAGGCCAGCATGGAATTCATGAGGCCCTGCCTCAAAAACAATCTCTTTTATATTTTCCTATGTACAAATCCATTTCTGGACAACAAAGGTGAACTACATCTACCTTGAAGGTCACACATTAAAAGATGATAGTTTCCACCAAGTAGATCCCTTGATTAATAGTCCGAGGAAGAACTGCCTCAGACTGTTATATGTTAAAAATATTATATAATTATATGAATTCAGCTTTTAAAAAGGTAAAGTTGGTGCTGGAGCTATAGCTTAGTGACCAAATATGTATCCAGCATGCATAAAACCTGGGTTTGATTTCCAGTACCTCCAAAAAGACAAAGTTGCTGGAATATAATCATAGTAACATATGGTAATGCATTTAACATGATGTAGAGAAAGCCAAACACCAAACACTTTCTGATGTTATTAAACATTTGCATTTTAATTTCTAATTTCATTTCCTCTGGCAATATCTATATTTTAACAATTTCAGGAAGTTTTATTTCTGAAAAAAATCTGAGGTTTGGTAGCAAGATACTTTTTTTTTAATTTTTTATTTATTTGCATTGCTCTTTCGCCTGCATGTGTGTTTATATGAGTATGTTGGACCCACCGGAACTGGAGTTATAGACAACTGTGAGCTGCCATGTGGCTGCTGGGAATTGAACCCTGGTCCTCTGAAAGAGCAGCCAGTGCTCTTAACCACTGAGCCATCTCTCCAGTCATTAAGATACTTTTTTGTTTTTAAGTTTTATTTTATTCTGTATACAGTGTTCTGCCAGAAGAGGGCACCAAATCTCATTACAGATGGTTTTAAGCTACCATGTGGTTGCTGGGAATTGAATGTAGGACTTCTAGAAAAGCAGCTAGTGCTCTTACTCACTAAGCCATCTTGCCAGCCCCACAATCTACTTTATTGGAAGACTTATTTCTAGACAGGCGGTAGCATTCTGGAGGCAGAAAGAGAAGAATTAACAGTCCAAGGTCATCCTTCGCCACATACTCAGTTCAAGACCGGCCTGGGCTATATGAGACACTGTCTCCTCTGCGTTCTTGCCTGCTGACAATGAACGTTAAGGCTTCTGAAGACTTACCAATGAAGTACAAGACGCAGGATGATTGTATGGATACCACCACACGGTCTTATAGATGTTGATGTACTGAATGAACAGAACAATCAGCAGGTAGATAAAGAACAGAAATTCAAAGAACAGGCTCCCATCGACTGGTAAGTCAGGAATTTGGCAATGACGAACAGGACCTGGGGTGATTAAGGCTGTGATAGGTGGGACTGGAAGGCCAATAGCACTACCATTCCTGAAAAAGAAATTATAGTTAACTCAAATGGTGACAGTCTTCAGTGTCACACCACCTAAAAAGCCCTATTGCTTCCTCCACCCACCTCTTAACTGCTGGTTCCCCGATTTCCTTTTCTTCCCCACCCATTATATCTGTGATCTAAAATGTAGCCATGTTTTCTATTATCTCCTGGGTATGGAAGACTAAAATTTATCCATAGAGCTCACCTTGAGTTTAGTCTCATTACCCAGTTTCCTATTGAACATCTGTGCCACCCATCCCCTAGTCCTGACACTAGTCCATGGCTTATTCTGCTGGCCACCCAAATAAAAAAACTAAGCTAAGACTTCTTATGTGCCTCTCCATATCCAATCACTCGCAAACTGGATTCTACTGTATAAAATTATCTTTAATCTCACTTTCCCCTCTCAATGCACTATCTCGGACCAACCATTTACCAACTTTCACCTAAATTACTGCAACAAACCCCAAGTCTACCTTCATCAAGCCTTCTAACCTGCCTTCAAGGTGAAACTCTAAAATTACTCTCTTACCTGAACCTTTAAAATAGTTCTCCATTACCAATGAAATAACAGCCAAACTTTTTAAGTAAGTCATATGTGGTCCTGTCCTTAACAAAACACCTGTGACACATATGATGTCCATGGTATGTGCAATCTGGAACACACACCATTATTCCCTTTGTGCACTTTGCTCCCTTTAAATGTACTACCCCTCACCATAATCATAATCACCTTCCTTAAAATTTTTCTAGATATTTCTTATTCATTCTTCAGGATTTTTAAGGGATTTGGGAGTGGCAGGGGCTACATCAGTGGTAGAGTATTAGCTTACGACAATCAATTACCTGGGTTAGATCTGTAGAATCACAAACCAAAAAAAAAAAAAAAAGGAAAGAAAGCTAGCTAGCTGGGAGGATGGCTCCGTGAGTAGAGGAGCCAAACTCCTGCAAGTTGTCCTCTGACCCACACACATTATGGCACATGTATGCTCTCCCTACATACACAAAAGGAAAGCATGTGGGTTGCTTGCAGGATGTTTCAAACATATCCTCTGTGAAGTTTTCTCTAACTCAAAACTGATACAACTCTATTCATCAAATTTAAATTATGCCTTTATTCTTGTATTTTTTAATTCTTTCACATAATTTGTGCATATAGATTCATGTCTTAGCTACTAAATTATAATCCTGACAACCGAATACTTTCTTTAATTCACTGTTGATATGTACATTTAAGAAGACAGCAGGCCGGTAAAGTCATGAAAGAGAAAAAAATCTCTTAAAACACAAAAGTTAGAACTGTTAGTTCCTATCTCCTTGTTCTTCCACCCATGCCTGCTTACAGGTCAGGAAGAGCTCAGTTATCCCACCCAAGTGAGAAAATAAGGATAGAAAATGAAGTTTCCTAAAAAAGTTACAGAGATCTAAAGGTTGACTCTTATTTACACAACAAGGAAAAACAGGCTTGGTTTTAATACCAAGAGAAGGAACAATATTAGTGTTACCACTCTAAAATTTCCAAATATAGAACTCTAGCTGGTATGTGGCATTTACAGTACTTTAAGGGACTCCTGGGAACATGAACTTTGCTCCTTCTGAAGAACATTATGACTTGAATGCAAAGGGTTAACACCACAGTTACTACCTCACATCAGTTAACCATAATGTTGAAATTAAAAATGCTACAAAGCTAAGAGCCTCTACTATAAACAAATAAAAAATTCTTGTTCCCCTTCAGTCAGAATAGAGGGTGAAAGCATATGCAACCCACATGCTATTTAAAAGTTTAAAAAGGTCATAAACATTTCTCCAAGGAAAATGGATTGAGATACTTGTTCCACTAAACAAGCAGTGAATGCTTGTTTCAAAAGAGCATTTCAAAAACATTTACTAAGTACTGACAAAGAAGATCCTCACTTGTGATAGTCTCTGCAGCTTTAGCTTTTAAACTTCAAGCCAAAGACAAGAGATAAGGTCAGATAAAGCAATACAGAGCAGGAGAAGGAAAAAGGAAAGCAGTCCTGTAGAAGCTGTCAGATCAAGTCATCTTCTAATCTATAAAGTTGAAAGCTTAAAGAGAGATATATCAAAAGGTCTTATAAACCAAAATTATTTAAATAGCTGTATAATGCATAGACACATCAAAATACTATATTATACTCCATATATATAATTATGCACTAATCAAAAATAAAAATCTAAGAAGTTTAAAAATAAATACACTTGGTCAATAAACATCAGAAAATTAATTACAGACGTAATATTAAGGAAAAATAAAAATACTACTCCTGGTGTGAGGGTACAGCTCAGTGGTAGAGTACCTGCCTAACATGTGGAAGGCCCTGTTTTAGTTGCTGCTGTTTTTAAGTCTTGATTCCTCCTGTTTCCATCTCTGGAATTCTAGAAATTACAACCCTGTCTGCCACCACTCAGGTTCAACAGTTGCTGGAGATTGAACTCAGGGCTCTAGCATGCTAGGCCTGCACTCTACCTACTGAGCTGTATTTCCTAGCCAAATTTAAGAATTTTATTCAGGATGCATTTAATTCCAATAACAGCATTTTGTTACAACATATGCAAGGTGTTGTAATTTTAAAAAGTACCCCAAAAGAGAAAGATGCCACGTGACAGAGACTGGGTGGAGGGTTTTTTTATTGGAGGAAAGAGAATAGGAAAAGGGGGGAAAAGGAAAGAGGAGACCTGCCTCTGGGGACAGGAGCAGAGAAGAGACAGAGAGAGGGGGAGGGAGGGGAAACAGAGAGACAGGAAGAGAAGCAGAGAGACAAAAAGATTGGAGGTGGGCAAGCCCACCTTTTAAAAGGGAATGTAGTGAATGTGCACAGGTGGTGCTCTTAGTGGCTGCAGCTGAGGGCGTATCCTGTCAGAACCCCAAGGACAGGCCGGTACAGATGTCTGAATACTAACAAGGTACTGTCTACCAAAAAAAGCTCTTTAGAAACTCAAAACCTAGGTTTTTCTTTCTTCCTTTTTTTTTTTTTTTAAATGGGTCTCACTGTGTGTGGCCCCAGGCTGGCCTAGAAATCCTTGTGTAGACCATGTTAGCTTTGAACTCACTGAGTTCTACTTCACTCTGCCTCCTAAGTGCCAGGATTTCAGGCATTCACCACTGCACTGGGCAATGCCCAAGATCTTCTTTGAAGACTAGCCAGAAGAGCGCTCCCCTAACAGGGAAAACTGGAGTTCGGCTAACTTAACTGGTGATACACCTATGGGCCTCTGTTAAGGGCTTTCCAGAGGTTTACTAAGGGAAAGCTTATCACGAATGTGGGTGCCACCATCTCATAGCCTGAGATGAAATGGAGAAGAGGAAGCGTGAACAGTAGCATAGCTCTCATGTCTCCCCAAAAATGGAGTCCCGGCTGCAAGTCCCACACCATAATCTCTGACACAACTGAGGGACCCACACCCTCTTAAACCATGGACCACAAGAAACCCTTCCTTCCATAAGCTGCCTTTATCAGACTTTGACACTACAGTAAGAAAAGTAACATATACAGCTGTCTTCAAAGACCTGCTTAGGAGGACTACATCTAGTAATGTGATTGGCAAACATCTCTCTCTAGTGAATAGAAATAAAACAACTTCCCCTAGATAGTAATAGTTCACTGTGCCTAAACTGTATGTGCAATGTTTACACTGAACTCTTACAATATATATTCTTGCATATAGTTTATGCATAAGAAAGATATAGCAGCAGGGCGTTGGTGGCACATGCCTTTCATCACAGCACTCAGGAGGCAGAAGCAGGTGGATCTCCTTTCGTTTGAGGCCAGTCTGGTCTACAGAGCGAGTTCCAGGACAGGCTCCAAAGCAATACAGAGAAACCCTGTCTCGAAAAACCAAAAATAAAAAAAAAAAAAAAAAGAAAGAAAGATTTACCAGGCAAGAGATTGGTCTTTATGGGGCCAGCAAGCAGCAGAATTTAGGTAAAGAAATGAGTATGTGTGGCACACACTTATAATCCTAGAAGTTGGGAGACACAGGCGGGAGGAATCTCTGCAAGGGTTAACTTCTTTTTCCAAACTAATGTCTTGAGGTAAATGTATCACAAAATATTAATCATAGTCATAACGATTTTAAGATAATCTAAATGCCTCTTTCATTTTAATCGATTGAAAAACACATTCTTCCATCCCCTCATCTAAAATTGCAAAAAATTACATATATTAAAAGAGGAAGAAAGATGGAGAATGGTAGATTAAAGCAAACATGACTGAAACCTTGAAAGCCAATAAGAGCTACAAGAAAGACTAGGAAAATACAGAGAAACTCTCTTCTGACCAGGCTGTCCTTGAACTCAGAGGTCTGCTTCTGCCTCCCTAGTGTTGGGATTAAAGGCATATAAAACCAACACCCAGCAATTGTTAACATTTTCAAATGTTACTCTTTCCCTCCCACTACACTGCTTACAGAATCCAAGCATAAACAAAACTATCTAGGAATGAAGCTTCAGCTCCAGTCACTTGTTCATTAGAGATAAGGTCTGAATATGTAGCCAAGGCTGGCCTTGTGCTCTAGATCCTTCCACCCCAGCTTCCATGTACTGGGAACACTGGTGTACACCACCAAAGCTGAGCTTCAGCTCTTTTTAAATAGCAGACTGCTTCTTTTCCTTATCCTTAAAGATATTTTCATCATTCCAATAATTAAAAGATTAAAAGTTAGTCTAAGGGGCTGTAGAGATGGCTCAGCAGTTAAGAGCACTGGCTGTTCTTCCAGAGCACCGGGGTTCAATCCCCAGCACTCACATGGCAGCTCATAACTGTCTCTAACTTCAGCTCCAGGGGATCTGACATCCTCACCCAAACATATATACAGACAAAACACATCAATGCATATAAAATAAAAATAAATTAATTTTTTAAAAAGTTAGTCTAGCTGAAAGGTAATCTGGCCCACCTTCCAAGATTTCCTGATGACTTTTCCTTCTAAGCTACCTAGAGCAAGCAGATCAGGAAGAAGCAGGGGGGGCAGCTGTGAGAACACAATATGCTAGAGGAGTCCACGAAGCCAAGTAGGAAGAATAAACAGGGCTGACTCTGCTGACCTGAGCGGCTAGATGGGTATCCCATCCACCCTCACAGCTCCAGGCTGTACTCTTGGTCAAAGAGAATGACCTTTCCTGTGCCGGGCGTTGGTGGCACATGCCTTTAATACCAGCACTCGGGAGGCAGAGGCAGGAGGATCTCTGTGAGGTCCAGACCAACCTGGTCTACAGAGTGAGTGCCAGGACAGTCTCCAAAGCAATACAGAGAAACCCTGTCTGGGGGGAGGGGGGGAGACCTTTCATGAATGAACAAGGACCAGTGGTAGGTCAGGAGTATAGGAGTAGCTATGCTTCTTTGCTAGACACACGAAACAAACTTTCAAATATATCAGAAGAGCCTGAAAGACAGGAGTGGCACTGACTAGTAACTCTGGAAACCAAAAGCAAAGCAAGGAACAACTCTCTTCAGGGAGGAAACAAAAATATTGAGGAAAAAATTATCTTGACTAAATGCACAACTAGGTAAAAGTATCTCTGCACTGCTACATGGTCAAGCTCCCGAAAACACCAGTGGCCCTGGCTAAGATCAGCCAAAATAACTCATCCTGGGCTGGGTATGTAACACAGTAGTAAAGCACATGCTTAGCACGCTTTTATTTGTGTGTGTATTTTAATAACTGGGTTACTCCACACACGGTGATGATGCTCCCACTAAGCATCATTCACTATCTAACAAAACTCCAGTATCAAGCATGGGAAACCCTCCTTTGAGTTGTTGGTCAGAGGACTATAAGAGTCTTCCCCCAAAAAAATGAACAATTGCTGCTGCCCTCCAGAACTTGAAGGTAAGACTTTCTTGTTGATGACACCATACACTTCAGATACAGAACTTAGAGAAATCGAGCTGTTTTTCGAGAAAAAACAGGCCTGGAAACCTCCTTCCTGAGGTCTAGTTCTCACAGTAAGTGAAGGTGCTATGCAAGCAAGCTGCCAATGGAGAGAAGCAATCTTATCCAGCTGTAAAGTACATGAACCACAACAATGAGTGAGCCAGTAAGATACCCACAATGGTACAATAGTGCCCCTTTTATATTGGGGATAGCTAGTAACTGTCTAACTGAACTTAAAGCCCAGTCAGTAAGAGGGAATTCATTCCTGTACTATAAATATAATCAAGTATCCATGGCTAGAGAGGTGACAGACCTGAGAAGAGAACCTATTATTGCCAGGCACCTAAACCAGTAGTTTCTTCTTCTTCTTCTTCTTCTTCTTCTTCTTCTTCTTCTTCTTCTTCTTCTTCTTCTTCTTCTTCTTCTTCTTCTTCTTCTTCTTCTTCTTCTTTTTAAAGATTTTATTTATATATTTATTATGCATACAACATTCTGCTTCCATGTATATCTGCACACCAGAAGAGGGCACCAGATCTCATAATGGATGGTTTTGAGCCACCATGTGGTTGCTGGGAATTGAACTCAGGTCCTCTGGAAGAGCGACCAGTGCTCTTAACCTCTGAGCCATCTCTCCAGCCCCCAAACCAGTATTTTCTAATCATATTCTAAACACTTATCTTTACTCCCACAGATAAGTGTGGCTCTCATCCCTCATCAAAGAAGCTTCTTTTTGCAGCAGATGGAGACTGGTAGAGAGACCCACAATTGGTCCAATGCACTTAGACTGGGAAGTGCCCCACTCCATCTGCAACACAACCCCTACACCTAGGGTTGGGAAAAAAGTCAGAAGAGCAGGCACAAAGAATCTATAGAATACCTGTTGGCAGACAGTGTCCCCTAGGCATGACAGGAAAAACACACCTATGAAATCAACAGTTATGGCTGCCAGAACAAGACCAGCATAATGTGAACAGAAGCTGGCAAGCCAACATGGACAGAAGAAATACCACATAGTCCCAACCACAGATGAAGAGCAACAGGTGATCAATGACTGCTGAGAAAGGGAGACTTAGTTGCCTCCAGGGATGAACTCCTGTCTGGGATCAGAGGTCAGCTCTGTACACATGTGTACACAAGCAACACTAAATGGACTTAGTAGGTTATATATACATACACTTATATATATATCAATAATAATTAAAGAGACCATGAACTGGGAAGGACTCAGGAATCAGGGGTGGGAGTGATGTAGCTACAGTGGTCAGGCACAAGTTCTTAAAAAAAAAAAAAAAAAAAAAAAAAAAAAAAAAAAAAAAAAAAAAAAAAAAAAAAAAACTGGCCAGATGTTGGTGGCACACCCCTTTAATCCCAGCACTCGGGAGGCAGAGGTAGGCCTCTGTGAGTTCGAGACCAGTCTGGTCTACAAGAGCTAGTTCTAGGACAGCCTCCAAAGCCACAGAGAAAACCCTGTCTCAAAAAAAAGGCAAAAACAAAAACAAAAACAAAACCACTGGGCATGATGGTATATACCCTTGTAATCCCAGCATTGAGAAGAAAGGTAGATCCCTGGAGCTCAACAGCAAGCCAAACTAGCCGACCTGGTGACTTCTAGCCACTAAGAGCCCTTGTCTCAAAAACAAAACACCCGAGCTCACACACACCCCAAACTCAAAATCTACAACCCTATATTACCATGGCACAATTCTTAACATTTTTATGCTATAGTTGACAGTTATTATTAATATCAAACAAGTTTTTGCCTGGATAACTTTTAATAATAAAATGGAGGGGACAAAGGAAAGGAAAGGGCTTATGAATGCCCCACCCCCATTAAGGAGCTATGAACCTGTGATGGCTTCTTTAAGGGTGTGGCAACCTTGTCCCCTGGTAGGCAACCACATTTCAGTGGATGGCCCCACACCAGAAGTATATGAACAACACCAAGTGGACTCAACTGTTTATTTTTTAAGGGGGGGTGGGGGCTCCAGAGACGGCACTCAGATTTGATCCCCAGAATACATATGGTGGCTCGGAACCATCTGAGTTCCATCCAGTTCTAGGGGATCCAACAAGTCATTTTGGCATCCATAGGCACCAGGCATGCAAGTGGTGCACAGACAAACATCCAGGCAAAACACTCATACACATAAAAAATTTTTAATATTTTTAGGTGAGAAATAAAAGAAAAAAAATACCCTTCCACTTTGTGGTTCCCTGTGCAATATCATTCTACCTGCAAAGTACTCCTGAAACACTAAACTTTCAGTCTTCAAAGGTAGAGTTTCTACTTCAGTGACAAGAGGCCAGTTTAATAAGCAGCTATTTGACCAGAATTACATTTACACTAGTCTTACCGATAACACATCACACATCATGCAAATTATTTTTGCACAGACTTATTTTGTCTTTACCTGTTTCTCAAGCCTGTTCCATTGCCACAGCCGCCACCAACCAAAGTCTGCATAGAAGGTAAAGCTGAACGGCTTAGCTGCTGCCGACTAGGACCCCTCCTTCTACTGGGCATGTCCAGGAACCAGTCAGTTTCCAGTGCCACCTGCAGTTGCAACCCGGGCTAATGGTTGTCAACTTATTTCAACTCTGAATAATAAAAAAGAAAAAATTTAAATACCAGCTAATTGTTTTAAAGAAGTCAGCGTAATAAGCAAGCATTAAAACTAAGTGAGCAGATCTTGAAAAAACAAACAGATTGAATTTTCAAACAAATGCTCCCATTTGTGTATACAGCTTGGACCTTGAGGTAAGGTCAGAGGCTTAAAACCGGATCTACACTTTGTTCAGGGTTAGGCAACTCACAACTTGTGTCTTTAGTTGCTGACTTCTTATTATATAAAACACTCTACAGTCAGGTGGAAGTTTACATGAAACACCACAAATTATTTCCAATTTGATATTTCACATTAAAGTCACTTGAAATACAGGAAGCTTCATCACTGTCCAAATAACAGGTTGTTATCCAAGGATCTGGCTGAGATAAGATATATCACATATTATCTGACATTGACCACGTCATTTAACCCGATTGTTTCTTCAGTTCATCCAAAATGGTTGCCTGTTTCAGAAAAGCTACTGTAAAACCACTTTAAAAAATTAATGAAATTGCAAGATTAAAAGGCGACAAAGGTCTTTACTGGGAGAAAAAGGATTGTTTTCCTCAATTTAGGCAATATGGTTCTGCCAATATATACCAAATTTTTCCTAAAAACAAGTTAAAATGCTCCAAAAACTACACGTTGGGCAGTGGGGGGGGGGGCGTTTTCGAAAGGTTACTACTGTAGAGGGATCCGACTTTCCCTATTCCAGATCCTCTGGCTGCAGACTAACAACAAACGCCAGGTGGGACAAAGAATCCAAACTGTTAGAGGCAAGGACAACTGATCCTTGCTCAATTAAAGAGAAAGTAAGGTGAGGGGCAAAAGGCTGAGACACAAGAGCGTGGGGTGGGTTAAGGTGGACGGCGAGAAACCGCAAACTTGAATAGACCAGCCCCCAGAAGGAATCACCAAGTGGTTCCAGCCCGGCGACCGAAAGGGCCGAAGCACGCCGGGGACAGCAGAATGGCAAAGCAGGCAAGTAAAACTCACGCATGGAAGAGGCCGGCCACGGACTGGATCGCTGGGAGGAGGCGGTGGCTTCACAGACCCGACCCCACGCACTCGAACGCCCTCCCTTCTTTGAAGCGCTCCAAAACAGCTGCCGGGACGCAGGCAGGACCCCACCGGAGAGTCGAAAAATCGTGTCGGGTCACTAGGTTACCAGACCCAGACCGGGAGTCCGTGCCAGAGCCAGAGCTAAAGCCAGAGGCAGAGCCCGACCCCATCACCACTCATCCTCAGCCTCCATCGCCCAGGAGCTGAGGAGACGTGGCAGCGCACAGCGATGACGTCAGCTCCGCGTCGAGCTGGCCCCCGGAAACAGACTTGCAGCCAGCGGAGCCAGCTTGCCATCCTCTGGTGCACCTGCGCAGTGGGACTCTCCCGCCGGCGTGGGGGCGGGTGACTGGGCTTTCTTCCACCTACGCGTGGCTTGCGGATTTTGGGTTTGTTTTGTTTTGTCTTATTTTGTTTTTAACCTCCCAGGCTTCAATCCCCTAGTATCTAGAGGAGTACCCTCACATCAGGAGGGAGTTTCGGAGACGTCGCTCTTAAACAAACGACTGTTAAGGTCGCTTTAGACTCCAGTCATCTCTTTGCACGGACTGTATTTTTTTTTATTTTTTTTTTATTTTATTAGTTCAGCACCGACTGTATATTAAATCATGAACTAGATAGATTCTAGAAATAAAAACCAAGTTCTACAAAAGTTCAGCCTAGTAAAAAAGAGAATGCAGCACCGAGGCTCAGTAACATTGCTAATAAAAATAAATGCAAAATTAAAAGTATATCTGAGGTCCAGCTATGGCATACAAGATGTGGTAGGTAATGAACTCTGGAATGATGCTAGTGTCAATATTGAAAAAGGGTTTTGGAGACTTGGCATTTCAGCTAGTGCTCCAAAGATGACTAAGCTGTTTTCCTGCAAACAGAAAGTGATAGAGAAAAAAAAAAAAATTAAGGGGGAATAATGGTAGAGTTTACCATGCTGAGTTCAAGCCCCAACCATCACTCCACCAAAAAACGATGGGCAGTCCAATAATGAGTTCCAGAACTGTCAGTAGTTTGGAATTAAAATAATATCAAAACGAAGCCTGAATGGCATTTCCATCATGAAGTCAGTTGTACCTAAGTCAGTCTCAGGACCTAAGGTCTGGGGCCCTGTTATATGTAGCCAGACCCTGCCTCAAAGAAAAATAGTCAATAAATGTTCTTAAAAGTGTTATCTATATCTCTACCTCTCAGGGAAATGCAAATAAAAACTACTTGGGGATTCCATCTCACATCAGTCAGAATCACTATCAAGAAAAAAATAAAAAATGCTAGCTAGGATGGGGAGAGAGGGGAAAGATCCTTATTCACTGTTGGAACAAGCACTGTGGAAAAAATTGTGGAGGTTTGTGAAACAAACAAAAACACTGATCTGTGATCTAGCTGTACCAGCCCTAGGCATATACCCAAAGATATGTGCACATCCATGTGTATTGCTGTTCCATTCACAACAGCAAGGCAATTGAGTCAGCCTACGTGTCTTTCTTCAGATGAATAGATCATAAAATTGTAGTTCATATACTGTGAAATTTCATTAAGCTGTACAGAAAAACAATATTTGCCAGAAAATGGATGGAACTGGATAATATTATGTTAAGTGAGGCAACAGGTTTGAAAACGAGAAATGCCACATGCACATTATTTTTTATATATGTGTATGTGACGTATGAAGATGGAGATGGGGGTGAGTATGAGTGTATGAATGCCAGAGCAGAAGTGTGGGGGTCATAGGACAACCTTGGTAATTGGTTTTTGCTTTCTATGAGCTGCCATAGTAATTTTCTAGGGAGTCCCCTGTCTCTGCCCAGCATCCTATCATAGGCTTGCTGGGATTACAATGCTTACTACCACATCCAACTCGGCATAGATTCTGGGGAACTTAAACTCCTGGCTTCATTCTTGCACAACAAGCACTTTATCCATTGAGCCTTCCCCAGAAGGGTATCTTAATTTTTATATATGTGGAGTGAGTAGGGATGAGTATGGGTAGAGATCAGGCAACTTGAAAGGGTCTCAGGGAACGGGAAAGGAGGCTTTAAGGAGCCAGAGGGTGAGGAGGATAATAAAATATATGATAGAAAAGGGGAAAAGTGACAGAGGAAAGGACTGAGAGGTAAGTAGGGCAGGACATGTATGAAAAATGTTACAAGGAAACTTGTTACTTTGTATGTTGATTAAGAAGTAAAATTTTAGGAAAGAAATCCCCCAAAATTCAAAATGACAATTTATATGAGACGTTCCCAAACATCTTTATATCAACTGTAGGATTGTTAAACTTTATTAGAAATTGTTGTGCCAGACTACATATTTCATTGACACTTCACCACCAGGCTAGAGACGGAGCTTGGAGATAGAGCACTTCTTTAGCTTAAGTGAGAACCAGAATTAAGATCCCAGCACTGAAAAAGAAACAAAAACTGCAAGGGATGGCAGCACGTGCCTGTAATCTCAACCCTTGAGCAGTGGAGGCAGGAAGCTCAGAAGTTCAAGGTCATCCTCGCCTTTGTAAAGTGTTCTAAGACAAACTGGGTTACAGAACACCAATCTTTAAAAAAATAAAAATAAAAATCTGCAAACACTTGGTTAGATAGCACCATGATTGCCATTTTATACAGGAAACATCTGAGTTGACAACAAATAACTTGTTGAAACACCCTACCTATGCTAAGCCAGAAATAAAAGAGGTTTGTCTGAAAATGTCCTAGCCAAAAAAAAGAAAGAAAGAAAGAAAGAAAGAAAGAAAAGAAACCATCCTTTGATCCTCGTTTCCTTTTTTTATTTTACTTTATGTCCCTTCCCAATCCGTTTTGCCTAAGAGAAGCCCTCTGTTAGGCTTCATTGACTAACTGTAAGAGGTTAGGTTCTATTGTGATGTTCCTGCATGTACGTCTCTCTCTCTCTCTCTCTCTCTCTCTCTCTCTCTCTCTCTCTCTCTCTCTCTCTTTCTCTCTCTCTCTCACTCTTTCCACTCAGCACAAAGCAGCCACAACAGAAACAACAAAAACATCCCCTTTTTTAATCCCCTGGAAGGACCGACAGTGGGGAATATAACAGTACAATCGGAAATGTGAAGGGATGGAATGATGCCTTGAAAAATGATTAAGGTGGTTCTCTTGGAGGAAGGGGGTTGGGATGTATGGTGACTAGGAGATTTTAGTTTGGGGCTCTTCTTCCAAACTTTTCCCTAGGTGCCATCCTTTTCATGTGATAGTCTCTGCCAATGACCCTCTGTTCTCTTCCTGAACTGTTTTAATCTGAAAAGAAAACACAAATGCAAGGTGGGGGTGCAGCCAGTAATCTCCCCAATATGCTAAGGCTGGAGGATGGTTGTGAGACTGCCATCTCAAAAATACATATGTAAATGGCAGGTGCTGACCATGGGAGGCTGAGTTTTACTTCCACTTTCAAGAAGAAAATTAGATGGTGACCTAAAGAAAAAGTCCCTGTCCATCCTGGGAACTCCCTGTAATCCAGTGTCTCATAAAAGCCCTTTCAATCTCTGAGTCTTAGAAAATGGATACTTGAGACCGAGAGGTCTCTCCATTTTTCTCGTTTAGCCTTGAATAAACCTGCTATCTTCCTCCCACTCCTGTATCTTTGATTTCTGATGATAGAGTAGCCAGCAATATGGACTTTACCCTGCTTTAAAGAATGGCTAATATCGCCGGATGTTGGTGGTGCATGCCTTTAATCCCAGCATTTGGGAGGGATTCCCAACTCACTCTGTGAGTTCAAGACCAGCCTGGTCTACAATAGCTAGTTCCAGAACAGCCTCAAAAGCCACAGAGAAACCCTGTCTTGAAAAACCAAAAAAAAAAAAAAAAAAAAAAAAAGTCTAATGTCAAAACTACTAAGATGACCAGCCACGGTGGTGCATGTCAGTAACCCTACATGGAAGGCTGGGGAGGCAGAATCCTTTCAAGTTTGAGGCCAACCTGCAATACACAGTGATAGACTACACAGTAATATGCAGTTTTCTTTTCTTTTTTTTTTTAAAGCCATGTATATATTAAAGTTTCTACAAAGCTGATTGGCTGATTAGAAGTTTGGATTGTAGAGTTAGAATTTTGTGAATCCAGAGCCAATTTATCTGGAGCTATTGTGAAGCTTTAAATGAGGAATGTCTGCCATAATCTCTGGGATTTCAAATTGTAAGCACTGTTTGGGGAGGGTTAGGATACATGGACTTGTTGGAGGAAGTGTATCACTGGAGGTGGGCTTTGAGAATTTAAAGACATTGACCAGTTCTTGTTTGTTCTCCTTGCTTCATGTTTGCAGTGAGTCAAAACCCCACATTTTCAACAAATTTAAAGATCTAATTGTCTTTTCATTTGTGATTCGTGGGTCTCAGAGCATCTTAACTATGAAACAAGGTGTTCTTGGGCTGGTGAAATGGATCAGCAGGTTTGAAAGAAAGAAAGAAAGAAAGAAAGAAAGAAAGAAAGAAAGAAAGAAAGGAAAAGGTCCTGACTTTGATCCCTGGTACCAAATTTGGAAGGAGAAAACCAACAACTCTTGGAAGTTGTTCTCTGACCTCCACACATCCAGCCTGATGTGCATACACAACTGATAACTTTTATGTGGTGAGGAGGTTATGGTGATTTGAATGAGAGTGGTCCCCAGAGCTCATATGTTTAACTACTTGGTCCCCAGTTGGTGGAACTGTTTGGGAAGGATTAGGAGGTGTGACCTTGTTTGAGGAGGTGTGTCCCCTAGGGATGGGCTTTGGGACTTCAAAAGCCCATGCTGATTCCCAGTTAGCTCTCTCTCTCTCTCTCTGCCTTGTGCTTGTGCATCAAGATGTGATTTCTCAGCTACTGCTGTAGTGCCCTAACTGCCTGCTTACTGTCATGCTCCCTGCCATGATAGTCATAGACTCAACTCTGAAACTGTAAGCCTCCATAAACTGTTCCTTCCATAAGTCACCTTGGGCATGGTATTTTGGCACAGCAATAGAAAAGCAATTAAGACAGGTAAGGACAATCATTCCCCTAAAAAAATATCTTGGGAGAACTCAGGTACATTAAAGAGCTGAAACAAGACCTCTCTATGTAGCCCCATCTCTCCTAGAACTCACTATATAGACCAGGCTGGCCTGAACCTACATATCTGCCTGCCTCTGCCTCCTGAATGCTGGGATTAAAGGTGTGCACCACCACTTCATTCAAGGACACCTTTTGCTACATGGCCAAGAGGAGGTTACACTACATGCAGGCTCAAACAACAACCAAAACTAAACTTACTTTCCTTAGGATGTTAAAACAGGGAACTTTTTTTTTTTTTAAATCATACTTGCCCAGGTTTCATTGGCCTTTTCTTTTCCTTCCTTCCTTCCTTCTTTCCTTCCTTCCTTCCTTCCTTTCTTTCTTTCTTTCTTTCTTTCTTTCTTTCTTTCTTTTTGTTTTTCAAGACAGGGTTTCTCTGTGTAGCTTTGGAGCCTATCCTGGCACTTGCTCTGGAGACCAGGCTGGCCTGGAACTCACAGAGATCTGCCTGCTTCTGCCTCCTGAGTGCTGGGATTAAAGGCGTGTGCCACCAACCCCCTGCTGGCCTTTTATTTTTTATAAAGGATTTATTTTCATTATTTTTATACATATATGTCTGAGTGTGGTTATGTACACCTGAGTTCAGGTGCCCTGTCCTGCCCAGAGGCTAGTGGCTAGATCCCCTTGAAACTTGGGGAACTACACACAGTTGTGAGTCATGGGACATTGGTATTGAAAATTCAACTCAGGTCCTCTGCAAAGTGCAGTGTGTGCTCTTGGCTACTGGGCCAGGTCTCCAGTATGATCCTTTTTATGACTGGTTGCTGTGACTCTCCTGGTTTGTTGTTTGTTTATAAAGGCACTAATCCATTTGACAAGCAGTTTTGCATTTGGCAAGATCTGGTGGCATGAACCTACAAACTTTGGAAGCTGAGGTAAGAGATCAGCCTTAGCTTAGAGATCAGCCTTAGCTATATAGTAATACTATCTCAAGAAAAAAAAAGTTAATGATAAAATATATAACTTAAATGTTCAACTTGGTTATTGATATTTCAGTTTGGTATGGTCTTTTGGAGCCTACCACAGGCCTCAGTACAAAACAAGGGCTTACTATAAATCTTATTTACCACCGCTGATTTGTGTTGTAATTGCTATAAATTCCTATTACAAAGTGACCTGTGCTAACCTATTTGCAACCCTTTGTAGCCTAACAGTATGCATCCATTCATATGTTAAATAAATAATAAATAAATAGTTTGGTGTTCTGGAATGACCTAGCCTAGAGACTCTGTGTGTAACTGTAGCAAAAAATGTACCACCTCTGACTTTCAGTTTGTCACAGAACGGAAGAAATGATCATTATTAGAGGTGCCATCGCAACCAGCTTTCAGGTGCGTCAT